TTGTAATTAAGATGATACATTTTACGTTGTAACCTACTCCTGCCAAATTTCCGGTTACACAATCAATTCTTAGCGCCGTATCGTCAGTTGTTCAATTTACTGTAGGACGCCTTTATGGCCTCCTTGATTTCCATAAAGGATTCTTTCGCGAGTCCACGCCACTCCACTGCATCCAAGGTGTAACACAGTGCAGCACCGGGAACTGATACTCAAATTTTCGCGAAGAACGGGAATAGAGGAAGACGATTGCGACGATTATCCAAATGTCAAATAATCACGTGGTACGATTAACCGCCTAAAGCCGCGTACTAACTATAGCGAACACGACCGAACGAGCTGCAAGTACATGCGATGTTTGGTCGAATTGTTGTTTTGACGTCCACCGTCTAGCGAACGCATTCGTGTGGTATTGTTCTTCCGCTTTCAGGCAAGTCGTTGTTTCGCAGTTATAAAAATGTCTGATGATGAATTAGTTTTAATTGCTAGTGCATCATATATAATACCTAGTGTGAATATTCAAAAAAGAAAAAGAAAACGACGATGGTGGATGTCATCTTTATTTAAAAGTTGAAATCGTTATAGGGGTCTAGACTTAATGCAGGATCTCCATCAAGAACTGGAATATGGGCTTTTTGAAATTTTCTCTAGAAAGATTTTGAGTACTTGTTAAATAGAGTTGGCCAAAAATTACCAAAAAGGACGCAACGTTTAGAGAAAGTATACCAGTTGATACAATCAATGGCTATGCATCCTTGCACGAAAACAGGTACACACTGTGTGTGGGCTTAGGGCGACTTTCCTTTGAAGTTACCGACAAGCGAGCGAACTTTTCCGCAGCGTTTGCTCAGCGAAATGCCATGAATTATTCACGTTCACATTGACCGAACGCCTGCGCTCATCACCGTGCGGTCGAATGCGTGCGCTATAGTGAGTACGCGCCTTAACGTCGGTGAGGTACTAGCGGGTGACAAGTTTTACGGGTGTAACCTGAGGAAACGAAGATGGAAAGGGAAATAAATTGACACGTGGCCTGTTACAGCCACTTGTTGTGATACTTCAAACCCAAACGATCTACAAAGAGAAAAGGATCATGCGAAAAAAGGTATGCAACAAATAGAAAAATAATGGGCAAATTCCGCAAAAGAAGAAAAATGAATTCGAGCAGAAAATATGATAGGCAACCCGAGCGACACATATGTTTCCTTGTTGGCTTCATCAGGCCCGAAATGAATGCACATACGCAACAACAAAAGTAGATACTCGTGCCCATACATCCGGATACGGGTGTAACCCGAGGAAACGAACTCTGGAAACGAAGATGGAGAGGGAAGAAATTGACAGACGAAGTCACAAACAAGAGCCAACCTACAAAGCAACCTACATACTGTAGTATAAAATGGCTAGAAGACCTCGAATTTTCAACGCGACATCTAATCACAACCACGCGGCCGGATATAGCCACTTGTTGCCCAAAGGATGTACAGAGAGGTAAGGATCATGCGGAAAAAAGTATATAACAAATAGAAAAACAATGGCCAAATTCCGCAAAAAGAAGAAAACTGAATCCGAGCAGAAAATAGGATAGATAACCCGAGCGATACGTAATTCTGCTTCTTATGCAACTACAAAAGTAGTTTATACTACAATGTGTAGGATCTTTATAGTATCTTTTCTCACTTTTCTCTTCTATGGTGAGAGGTTACGTTTTCTTTTTGAATTGTAGGAATTTTTAGGCTCATATAACAGATGATATAAATCAAAAGCATGTACATTTTGATGTAAATAAATTTTGTAAGGTAACCTCAAAATGGAGCGCTGACACTGAACAGTAGGGAATTATGAAAATCAAGGAGGCCATAAAGGCGTCCCAGAATTGGAGGAATGACTGAAGATTCGGTCCTTAGGTTAAGTGAACTCTAAACAGAACCTCATCGTTGCCAATGTTTAGATATTAGAAAACTCCAAGCAATTCCAAACTTGCAAGTGCCTTTTAATCCTATAATTCGGCCTTGCCACAAAGTCCGTTCTTGTCTGAAATATCCTCTCTCCTGTCCCTGAAAAAAATACATTTTTGTGGGTCAAATAGTTTCCGAGATTTCGTGATTAATGTGTATCTCTTTTCTTTTACATACACTGAGAACCAAATTTAGACGGCTTGAGTTCAATGTGTACGAGAGAAGTGGTATAGACACATATGTTGGAAAGGATAAAAGCCGACTGGATAGCGAAGCTCATTACCGCGTTGCCAATATGTTACATCAATTTCTTGAATTGAGATGCATGTTTGTTGAAAAAATGTGTTAGTTTATTCTCTGCGCTCAAATAATGGTTTTATTTTGAGCGAACAGATTTTTGAATTGTGAATTGAGTCGATTCTGTGTAGGATCGATTCCGGATCGGTCCTAACGGAGCTACATTGAATGAAAGGTCAGGATCGTTACAAATTCTGCCTTGCATCAATGGTTCGCTTGGCAACATCGCATCTCGTACATTCCAAGGCAAGGTTTCCACCTCCATGATCATAGATGAGCGATTTTGGTCAGTACCCATCTAGCGTTTATTTGAGAGTGTCGTCCTGCTTCGAAATGGTTCTCACCTGCGTACACGCAGGCAGTGATAATTTGTATTGCGTAATGGTATTTGTTAAATTTTCCGACCTCTCGCTGTCGCAAAATGTAACAATAACTCACGATGTGTTAATTGTATCACCATCGGTGAAAATCAAAGGTAATTATAAAATAAATTAAAACCGTCAGACAAATTTGGTTTTTCCAAAATATCTGCCCTTATCCCCCTTAATCTATCCATATTGCAAAATCCGGTATTAGCGGACATTCCACTCGCTACATAACGCAACTGGGTCACTGGCAGCTAGAGTCACGGGAAAGTAGCTCTTGTTTGAACTGTCTCACTTTACTTGCATAACGAAGGCAACTATAACCTACCCGTAGTACCTGTTACGAACAATTAGGCTTATTTCACATTATACGGTTTTGACCGTACGGCAAAAAATCATACAGCTTTAGAAGTGAAGAAAAGCATGGGATCTTTCATATCTTACAGCGACAGCAAAATGCCGTATCTTGCCACTAAACTTGACGGTCGCCGTACGGGCGCCTTCAACACACTGGCCCACGTGACTAAATGCATGCATTCACATTGGACGGTTGTGAGTCGTACGGTATTGCAAGAAGCTACGTTTTTCAGCTGATTATTTGTGGAATGGGTGAAATTGATGCTGAAGTTTTGATAACCTTGGTGGAAGTAAGACCAGTTCTGAGGGACCAAACTATAGATATTTATAAAGATCGAATTGCTACGAAAAATGCATGGCGGGAAGTTTGCTTAGCACTGAAACCCGATTTTGATATAATGGAATACAAAGACTAAAATGCATTTGGTAAGTATTTTTTATATTTATTTAAAAACTTTAAAACCTGTGTTAATTTATATCTTTGACATCTGCCAAGGCACACTTCCAGCATTTGTCATGAAGTATTTTCAAAGCGTGTTCCTAATGGTGTTGGCTGTCAGTCCTCCTCCTCTTAAGTTAGCATCTGGGGGCAAGTCCTTCAATCCAGTGATGGATGTGATATCCTCAACTAAATCTCCATCTCTGTCACGAACAAAATTGTGTAAAAACAATACAAGCTTTAATAATTTTTACTGCAAAATCTGGTTGTACACTTAAAGGTCGATGAAACACACGCCGTTTATTAGTTAAAATGACAAAACTACATTCCACATACCTGCTTGCTCTGCACAATCGATAATTAAATATTTGTTTCTCGACTGTTAAGTGTGTTCCCCCAAAAGGTCGTAGCAAAAATACGGAACTTTTGGGCCTTCCGTAACAGGCAGACAATTTTCGTCTGGCAATTGCATAGAATTACTTTCTATTCCACAAGCTCGACCATTTGAATACTGAAGAGTCACAGTCTTTGCCATAACTTCCTATGTCAACAAAGATAAACCTGTACTTAGAGTCCGCTACAGCCATTAGAACCACAGAAAAGTATTCTTTATAATTAAAATACATTGATCCGCTATTAAATGGACAATTAAGACGTATATGTTTTCCATCCACCGCTCCTAAGCAGTGGGGAAAATTAGCAGCACTTTCAAATCCAGACGCAATTGATTGATTGATTCCCATATCTCTGTTGTGGGTTTTGGTATTCAATCTCCTCGCATTGTTAACCAAATAGCTGTGCATACGTCATTAACTATTTTACTTGCTTTAGAAATTCCTATTCTGTACTGGAAATGTCAGTGAAAGAACAACCACTTGCCAGGTACCTGAAAAAAAAAAACAAAATAATTTGTTAGTATTGCTTATGCAGTTTCTTTAGTATTTTTTTTTTGTTGTTTTTGTTTTAGGTAAAGAAGTATGTAATACGAAGGTGGACCAATCTAAGAGACTCCTTTGTAAAGTCGATGACAAATATTGAAGATTCCAAAAAAGTGGCTCAGCAGCAAAGAAGTTTAAAAAGTATGTATATTCTGATCAACTGCAGTTTTTTAAAAAAATTATGATTCTCTCGAGACGGAGGATAGTCTTCAATCGGAAAGTGCTGCCGAGGTGGAAAAAGATACACAAACGCAGGGCTCCACTGGAAATATTGCTTCTCAGTCATTTGATACGCCATCGACGCAACTCCCATCTAAAAATGTACGTGAAACAAGAACTAGAAAACCAGATGAAATCGAAGCTAAAATGTTAAGAGCTCTGGAAGCAGACAAACCATGCGGCAAAACGTCATTTCTACTTAGTCTCAGACCTCATTTGTACAAATTTGATGAACAGGACTATCTTCAGTTTTAGCTTGGAGTACTCAGAGTTATAGAAAATATAAATGAAAGAAAAAAGAACATATCAGTTCAACCACCTCAATTCACCCAATACACACCCCCCATGTCACACAATCAATTTCATGCCTATTCGCCTTCGCCTATGGGGAACTCAGCTCCCATTTATCATCATCCAAACCCAGGTTTTTCCCATACCCAACAAAGTTTTGACAACCCAAATGGTTCTTTCACTCTTCAAAGTTGCAGTTCTTATCCAACAGGAAATGCGATGCCATCACCCCATTCCATACCTGTAACTAGTAGTAACGAACGTCCACCAACAACGCAATTCTACCAGCATTTCGAGGAATGCCTTTCTTCAGAAGGCGATAATGCAGCCAACCCTGATACAAATTCTTTACAATGAAATGCTGATTCTATAGACTTTTCTTCGTGAACATATTTGATGAAAATGTAAAAATCAAAGGAATAAACAGATACGATTGCTTTTTATGTGTTTACTTACCTTAACGTGATAGCCAGCCTGAACAGGTTGTATACAATTTCTAAATTGTGCGTTTTGTCGTTGTAATACACCTTCAAATTTTCTATGTAACTCGTCAAAAGCGGTAATAGACATTCGGAAATAGTTAAGGAATTTATTTTCGTCGTTCCGCAAATCTTCAAAAAGTGTATAAAATAATCATACTTCCTCTCTCCTCTGATTAATGGGGTGCACCCAAACCAGGCGATTTCGTTTTGCTCTTTCTCGTCGACGATAAAGCAACCAAAAAGCAATAATTTGTTTAGAATTCATTTTGGCGTGTCGTGTGTACGCCCAACATGCAATGTGAAAACAACAACGCCACGGCAACATTTCGTGCGATTTTTTGCCGTACGGTCAAAACCATATAATGTGAAATAAGCCTAACTGGTCGATGGACGGTCAAGTGCTCTAAAAAGCGGAACGCGCCACTGCTTGATGTTTGTTTACATTTTTGACAGATCTGTATTGTGAGGAATGTGAGGTTAGAAAAATCAAAAGAGAAGCACAAAATGTTTTGGGAGCACAAGGGCAAAAACAAACGGTAAACATTTTTCGTAGGCGACTTGCCGTTGATTATCGCTTCATTTACAAATCACGATTTAAGATTTATTGTGGATTGAATTACCTATTATTCCACACAATCGTGGATTCGGTAATACATTCATGATAAAATGTTATCAATTACTAGTTCCAGTTTTTCTTTCAAAATATGAGGGAAAGTGTCGATCATTGAGCCAGTGCTGAAATGATGGGATTGATGATCAGAATGTATAAGTGGTAAGGATATTTTAATTTCCACTTCATTGTTTGATTTATCTTGTAACAGGATATGCATGTGTTTAAATGCTAATCATGCATCATAATTAATTGTTTTTCCAAATGTCTGCACAACAGTTGATATTAGTATCCTCAATTTAACTGTAAATGCTGTGTTGTGTATGAGGATACCATTTATTAGAATGAATAAATATGGGTATACTTATTTATTAAATACTATTAACTACCACTGGGTTACTTATTGTTTCAGGCCTACAATCAATAAACAATTCATTATTGCCCTCTCATCAGGGTTGATCCTTGGTTTTCTGATTGCTTACATATCATTGGCTACCCCAGAAATATTGCTTTTCTCAGATCCACACACTAGCTCAGAAATGGTACATTTGGCTGGCCCCAGTATTGATCCAGGTACTACCCAAATTATGTTATTTCTTCAATTAATTTGAAAAATATAACTTGCCTGTTACAAAGAAATTGTTAAAACACTTACTTTTTCTTACATTGAATAATTAAATGATGTTTCCTTCAACAAATTTGGAACAATCACTATTTAAGACTATAGGTACCTGGCTTATCTGCTCTCTGATTTTTTTTGTAACTAATAATAGTGCATGCTAGATGTTAACGATTTACTCACAGGCTTTCTCTATTTCCTATACACAGAAAGCAGTTGAAATATTTTGGAAGACGTAAAATTTTAATAAGTATAGATCTAAATTAAAATTTTTAGAATCCTATTAAGTCAACAAGGCAGGGCATTTAGACCCAAATAAGTAAATATATGAGAGAATAATCATTTTTTGTCATTAGGTTCACATGGCCATGATGAAGAATTTCACAATATGGAAGATGCCACTGTTGCAAATAAGTTATATGAAGATGTTCGTATACTTTGTTGGATTATGACTCAACCAGAAAACCATTATAAAAAAGCGAAACATGTTAAAACTACATGGGGCAAGAGATGTAATATATTGCTATTCATGAGCAGTATAGAGGGTAATGAATTTTTCTGATCAGTTTCGCAGTTGATAATGATAATGAAAATACTATTATTGCCATGATTTTACCCCATTCGTAGTCCATTTATGCCCAGACAAAACACAACATGCCCAAAAGCGAGACCGTACAGGTCCGTATTTTCCTCAATGGTGTTGGAATAATCTAACAAAATAAATGATTATTTTTATAGAAAGAAGTGACATACTTTTCACAATTCTTTATGCAATCTTTCCAATGGTTTGCCGTCACTCTGGTGACATCTTCATAAAATAAATGTTCTATTGTTTGAATCCACATAGTTTTTTATATTTGCCCAAGTCATTTCTATAAGATTTAATTTGCAGTGATAAGGGAGCAGGCTTAACACAGTGTTTTTAGCCATTTCATCAATAACATCAAGATTATATTTATATCTGTGCTGCCTAACTAGATGGATAAGTTCTGCTTTGACCATATTTTCATTGAAACTAATGTCTTTTGCTAGGAGCCATTGTTGAATTTTTGCCTTTCATGTGGACATTGTGAGAATTTTTTATAGTTTTGTAGTGTGGTATGCAGCATTATCAAGTACAATGACGGTATTGTCGACTAGCTTAGAGAGCGTTTCTTCAAACCATCGTTCAAATGAACTCCCGTCCATTTCTTCATGGTAGTCGGTCGTATTCTTTGACTCAAATGCCCATAGGGCAGTGGACACAAAGCCATCGTCACTGCCAATGTGACAGATAAATCATTTTCCTTTTCCTGGAAATAATTATTTCATATAGTATTCGAAAAAACTAATAATAATACAAGCATAGTATCTAACAGGTATTGGTTCTAAATCTACCAGATATAGCTAAGTTTAGTGTAGCTAAGTTTTTAGTGTGGACTCATGGATTCAGTCTTCTTGACACCATTTTTACAACACAATTGACGAATTGGTTAGATACACATCTCTGGCGGATTCTTGAGGCCAGTGGTTAGTCCATCTAAGAAGGCTTGTCTTGCTGATTTAATTGTAGAGTCGGCCATACCTTTAGGTTTTGTATGTCCTGCATTTATCCAGGTTTCCTCCAAGTAATAAATCTTCCTGCCTTGGTCGCGGTATTTTTATATTGATTTTAAATAATTTCTTCTTGATAAAATAATCTGTCCATCAAAATACTATTTCTGCCCCGTTTTCTATACTCAAAATGAAGTTCTTTGAGTAAACTATAGAATGTGGTCCTTTTGAGAGTAGGTAAGTCTTCGTCACTATTAACCTCCTGTAATACTTTGTCTATGGCGGAAAGTTCCTACCATTCAAAAAATTGATGGACTTTGCGACTGATGGCATTCCGATCAAACTTATCAAATGTATCCGACAGCTTCGTGTAATGCAGCCTCTTGTGTCGTGGAGACAATTTTTTTTTTATATTCTTTAACAATATTGAAAATTGTCTTAGGACATAAGCCTGTTTTGTCCACCACACGTCTTTCAATATCATGAACTTTCATTTCAGGATGCTCTAAAATTTCGCTCTTATAAACATCAAGGACAATTTCTTTTGACTGAATATTCAAATGTCCTTTTTTGTCACGTTTGCGGGGACGAGACACCACTGAAGAGGAAGCATGCCTGAAGGAAGCATTGGGAGAAATATTCTCAGTTTCATCTGCTGTATCCGTAGACGACGTTAACATATGAACACGCGCTATGTATGCACCGAATATGAACAGCAACTGCCGGTGTCGGCTTGCTGGCGATACTCCGAACCTGAGTTCTATCCTGTCGAATCCTGCACTTGTTAGTAGTTTTATGGTCAATGACCAATAGCTATTGCATCGGTTAGGCGGCGGTCTCCAATTTTCACGCTATACGCTGCGTCTAGCGTTTGCTTACGTCGCGAACAGCAGCTGTACGTCACCACCAACTTCACGTACCTAGTCATTAACAGAACGCGTCGAACACTGTCGTCGGTGTCAGTCGAGTGCGATCTTTTAACTTGTTCAGAAATTGATGATGAAACAGTTTTAACTCTTCTTTTGTTCGAAGAGGATGACGAATGCTTGATACGGATGTTACTAAAGAAAAGAAGACGAAAAAAGCACAACTTATTTATGACGAGGAACAGAGAAGGTTGCTTCAACTTACTGCTGAACAACTTCTGCAATAACGACACCAAGTTTATTGAATATTTTCGGGTGTCAAACTAACAATTTAAACGAGTGCTAAAACTAATCGAAAAAGATATCGCCAGACAACTATCATATCAATCATTTCACTTATTTTTTCCCAACATTTGTGTTTATCAATATTGTTTTTAGAATCCTTATCACTGGCATCATATAAAGGCCTGTTGCTATTAACTAATTCAATCAACAATTCGTCTTTTTCTTTTTTATTAACAAACTGGCTCATGGCGCAAGGTTAAGGCGGTTGCCGCGAAGCATCTTTGTTTTGTGGGGGCGTAAATTGACTACGAATAGGGGAGATGCACTAGCTGCTGCTATTTTTCAAAAAGTCAGGTACTTGGATGGGTACTCGATAAAGTGATTTGTGCTGGGTTATTTCAACTACTGTAGTGATGTTTAGATTCTGTTTGCATTTTTGAAAGGTTTCTTTATCCCCAAAATTGATTTACTTTTTCAAGAAATTAATGTAACAAAAAATCAGTTGTGCATCTTAGATGATTTTTTGTGAGTGAGTGTGAAACCAGGTACTTCGTAAAATGGGCCGAGTCCTGGATTGAAGCCAAGTACTCGGTGCAGCACTAATACAAATATAGTGCACAATAATTTCTTCCACATAGTTTAATCTGCTGTTTTTTCTTTATTCCTAGACCCTTAAAATTATTTATGTGTTGATACTGATACCTATTTTCTTTTTAGATCCATCATTGCCTTCTGTAGCTCTGCCTGTCAAAGAAGGCAGAGATAACTTATGGGGAAAAACAAAAGAAGCATTTAAGTATATTCATAAGCATTACTTAAATAAGGCTGATTGGTTTTTGAAGGCTGATGATGACACGTAAGTTAATTTCATTTACACATAATTTCAGTAGGCACTGGAATATTGTTCTTTAACTGTGACTCTTTCAGCTATGTGATACTAGAAAACTTACGCTACATGCTGATGCCTCATAAACCCACAGAGCCTGTGTATTTTGGATGTAGGTTCAAACCTTATGTTAGACAAGGTTATATGAGTGGTGGAGCTGGTTACGTACTAAGTAGAGAAGCTGTGAAAAGATTTGTGGAGGTAATGCACTAAGATAAATTGCTATATTTAATTAATTTAATTAAATTACTACAAATTTACATAAGTAAGTGCTGATTCTGGCAACTTGGAAATTAGTTAACACTAGACTAGACCCGCGGATCCGCGCGCGTGGAAGAATTCGGAGAAAGAAATACAAGATTCAAAGTAATGCAATTGTTTCTTTGCATTACTTTTCACATTTCAATGTTTCGTTTGTTTAAATCCCCCAGGATATACTTGAACTTAAAATTGTCCGCAATTTGCATTCTAGGAATTAAAAATGGATATTCCCATTGAAAATTTATTTGATCTTGATGGTTATAGTCAAGGTCACGTACATACTTGAACTTCGTTGTTATTTCCGGTGTCTAAAATAGGGGTTTCCATTTAAGAAAACTCTATGGACCTTCAAATGAGCTTGAAGCGTTATTTCTCTAGTGTTAACCAACAGTCTGATGTAAGTAATCTCAATTTTGAGTCGCCTCAGTTTTCCAACAATCTGATATCTTTGCAGAAAATAAGTGAGGATGACATAACTAGATCATCTAGGAAACCGATAATAAGTTAACATCAGGTGTTGATCTTATCCCAAACTTTGTAGCTAAGGATGTTTCCGAATACTGATCTGGTTTGGTCGTCGATTTATCAGCCTGCAATTTCTATTGAATCTGTCCAACGTAAGAGCCTGAAGTACGTCAATTAAAAAGTTTATGGCATATATCCTGGAAGAGGCTTCCCAAACAATATGCTACTTCAAGTCATGAATTTTGATGCATTGGTTCACCGGCGACAATTAAGTGACATTACGATGCTTCATAGTCTGGTTAATAATAACCTTGATTGCCCGGAATTATTATCTAAAATAAAGTTTGTGGTGCCAAAGAGATCAACTCGCTCTTATGAAACTTTTGACAGCGTTAGTGGTAGAACCAACGTATCGGACATGTTTTCTGTTAAAAGGATTTGTGATGTGTTTGACACTTATTGTCAACGATGCGTTATCAATATTGATACCGTTTAAGTGATTTTAAGCAGTTTTGAGCAAACATACAGTGCTTAACCAGTAATGTTTATTTTTGCTGGTAGAGGTATAATTTTTAGATATATTTTATTCTATCAATTTTACAGTCATTCGTGTTCATGTTTATGTATTTATTGCCTGCAATAATGTTTTTCATTCATGTTTTAAATGGATTTTGTAAAATGAACTCTTATACACAAGAGCATAGAACTTGATGTTTATTTTTGGATGTTCCATGTGATTTGGTGCAAACCTGTTGGAATAAAGATTATTATTATTATCATATTATTATCAGTTATTGAAGGACACAGTCTTTGTGCCGCATCTCGAAAAGTGCGCTGGAAAATAAATTGTACTATTTTGCCAGATTTTGTCACATTTCACCTTGAATAACTGCTCTTGACTTGAGTCAACTTAACGAACCCCAAAATAAAGGTCTGTATAATATTTCAGCGTTTTACATTTCATTTGTAGATTTCATTGACCAATTCAACTGGCTGTAAGACTAAAGATAATAGTGGCGCTGAAGATGTTGAAATTGGAAAATGTCTCGAGGCTGTCCAAGTAAAAGCAGGGGATTCTAGGGACTCATTAGGAAGGGGCAGATTTTTTCCGTTTGTACCAGAACATCATTTGATTCCTGGTCATGTCGACAAAAGTTTTTGGTATTGGCAATATATTTATTATGAAAGCAAAGAGGTAAGTGTTTTAATTACAGGCTATGACTAATACACAGATTCTACAATTGTAGGATGCCTTTGTGGCCTCCTTGATTTTCATAGTTTTTTACTGTTCCATGTCAGCGCTCTATTTTGACGTTATGTGACAAATATCTATTTACATCAAATCGTTCATGCTTTTCATTTATATCATATGTTTATCAGCCTGAAATTTCATGCGATTCAAAAAGAAAACAAAGCCTCACAATACGAGAACGCTGACGCCGACACGGAGCAGTAATAATCTAGAAATTCCCCAGAGAGAAAATACTATGAAAATCAAGGAGGCTATATAGGCGTTCTATAATTGTAGGATCGACTGACGATACGGAGATTAGACATGATAGGTAGTAATAAATTGTTTTTCATTTAATAAAAATACATAGGTATTCAATGGAATTTTTACCGAGTAGTTGATTGATTGTCTCATATTTATTTTTATTTAGTATTATTCTCGTACTTTTGTGAAATCTTCAATCTTTAGAAAACACAATCATTAGCCAGAAGTAAAACATTATCTTGCTGTTTAGAATTAAACTTTCGGAAATACGAAATAGATAGTCTGCTCTTCTGATAATTTCTTCAGAAATGTAGTTCAAAATTCAACCTACTATCAACAATTATGCCAAGGTATAATAAGTATAAATTTGTAATACCATTATTTACAACAACCATAGCTTTTACTTTGTCTGTGTGTGTATGTGTGTGCGTGTGTGTGTGTGTTTAATTAGCTAGATATTGGCCATTCTGATACGAATTCTAAATCACTATTAATGACAGAATCTGATTGAAAATGTTGAGTATTTACGTAAATAATCTCCAGCAAAGATTTGGATTTTGCAATTTTTTAGTATTCTTGGCAATCATTTAGCATCTTCAATGAAATAACGTTATTTGTCTTAGTTACTTGTATCCTCTTGGGCAGAAAGTTCTAAAAACCATTTCAATACTTTTCCAGATACACCATATGTTTCTAGTTTACTAAACAGTAAATGCTCTCTTCAAGTCAATTTGATATGATTGTTTGCATTTCAGGGTTTGGAGTGCTGTTCTGACAATGCAGTGTCCTTCCATTATGTCAGCCCAAATCAAATGTATGTTCTTGAATATCTGATATATCATCTAAGACCATATGGAATTTCATTTCATGTGGAAATGCCACAGGAGCTACTTGATAAAGAAGTAGATACACTTTTGAAATCCGAAATATCCACTGTAGGATGAAAACAGCTTTCAAATATTTGTGAAATTTATGTCTTCAAAGGAGTTTTAAAGTTTTACTTTTACCTGATGGGTTGGACAAGGCTTCTAAAGCATTAAACGTCACCAGTATAGTCGGCACTCTGCTGTCAGTTTTGCTGATTAGGCCATTAGTTAAGGAGATATGTGTGTTTATATAAATACGTTTTAATATTTATCATTTTATAAGCATCACAATGTTTTAAAAAACTGAATGAGTATCATTTGGACGTACTAGTCGTTAATGCCAAATATGTATTATTATTTATGCCATATTTTCTACACTCACTGTTCATGAGGAGTACTATTTCGATTAAGTATATCATATGTATAAAGATTTGATTTTGTAATTATTGAAATGAGTAAGCAAAGCTTTGTATGAATGATAAATGTAATCAAAGACTGCAGTCTGTACGAGTTTATTTTAAGGGGGTCGCTACCTTGGGTGGCATCCGGTGCGGAGCTTGGTGGTGTCAACCATAAATTCGAAATCGAAAAAGAGCCTATATCTTCATACCTTCAGACTGGATTGAGGTCTTAAAAGTTCGTACATATAATGATGCTACGCCAGTGGCGATTCGGTGCGCTCATTTCATCACCAGCCGTCACAACTGCTTAAGCTCTGTTACTAATTTAAACTGCAGCTAATGGGAACGGACGCGCCATTGAAACATCGAAGTCACGATGCCAAGGAAAGTTCGCTCAAGAACGCCCAACTGAACACTTATCGTCTCAATATCTTGTTACATCAAATTTGTTACTTGTACTTCCAAGTAAACATATTTCAAGACTGGAAAGGCAAGGTTATTACGTATCATGAAAAGTGACATTATGTCGGTTTTTTTACATATTATAGGTATAGCAGGAAGGAAACGGCAGTGCATAGTGAGAATTTGTGTGATAATCTTATTCAATCTGGAAATCACCATGACATACAGTTCGAGTCACATAACTTTTAATGCACGTCATAGGCTTCAAATCACCAGTGATGCCATACATCTTCAAAATTGGTATGTTGTAGGAATTCTCAGCATTCGTCATCTTTCTCATTCTCTCTACATAGCATGTAAGTTGAGAGTGACGGAAAAATTACGTATTGAGGTAAGTCGGAGATAAGTCGATATTGAAATACTGCGGAACACATTACAGAAGATAGGCTTTGACAATATGAACTGTCATGTCAATGGGAAACATATTTTTTCCTGTATTGTGGTATTTTTAACCTCATAGTTGAACGTCAAAATGACGATATGATATTATTTACGACATGCCGTAAACTTGCGAATTCGACAAAATAAGCCTGTGCTTAAGCGGCAACCATGTAGACATATTTGTAGTCGGTGAGACATGCTAATATATCTTCTTCATTTTCTAGCACATTAAATTTATATGACTTGCCATTTTACGTAAGTCGACCACCAATCGTGGCTTTTTGTGACGTGAATAAAAAGATGTGATTTCTACTATACACACTATACTTCGAAGTTGAGTCATTTATTTTAACAGTGAGTAGATCTGATCAAAAGAAATGTTTTTTTCCTTTAACATTCTTCTGGTAAAATTAAAGTAACAAAGCTATAGCCCTTTAGAAGTTTGAGTACCGCCCTATCTCAATAATAATATTATGTGCTCGTGTTTGGCAACAACGGATATAATCCGCCTTATCGGTTCATCGCATCGGAAACAAAAACAGCGAAAGAATTTGAAACGATGTTTTTACTACAGTTATTATTCAGTTGTATTCAGTCAATGTGTCAGTCGGTAACGCGTGAGTCTATAGCGGTGTTTGTTGCGTGGCTCAAACGAAATAAAAAATGGCACATATTTACGAAAGTGCTGAACTTGTGGACATCATTCTTATTCTTAATCGAGTGCAACCAACCCCTCGTGCCTTTGTTAATGTAGTACAAATGGCTCGTGAATCAGGTGACTTAAGACCTCACAGGGGAGGGCATGCCGGAGCTCCAAGACCGCACGATCAAATACAGGTCCGCACTGAAATACTTGTCGGGAGGATACTTTATAAAACAAAGTAACATTTTTTTTTAATTTTTACACACATATTTTGGTTTATCTCCCTTCTACAATCATTATCTGAAAATTAATGACTCAACTTCACGTCACCCTGTATATAAATTTGCTGTATTTCAAAAAGGATAACGATAAAAAAAGAAACTCCCTGGTAAAACAGGAGAGAAAATATGGTACATATGGGAATATTTATGAAACGTAAAAAAGTTATTACATTTACCATTAATTTTTATTTAAAGTCATTTAAATTTTATAGAAATTTATTTTACGATGTCAAGTGGAAAATATAAATCAGCGCCTAGATGTGAGGCAGTGCATGTGATCTAGCTACTCAACCACAGATCTTCTCAGAGTATACTCTACAACAGGGTTTTTCAGCATTTTTTTTTTGTGAGGCTATAAATTATATTTTCATGTTCCTCTTTACTTTTACAATAAATACAAAAAAAAACGCTCATTATACGTAGTCGTGCCATAAGTTCTGTCCCATGATAATCTCATGATAAAAATGAAACAAGATAAGATATATTTATATGAAAGATATTATTTATTCGACAACATTTTTAGAATTCATAATCAAACAGTTTTATTCAAAATGTCCCCCCTTGGCCTTCACACACTGCTTCAATCTCGCGGGCCACTCATCTATCACTGCACGCACAGCTTCCAAAGGAATAGCTGCCGCTGATCGGATCAAATCCGCTTTCAGGGACTCGATATTACGGTGGGCTTTGGAGCAGGCCAACTGCTCTAGCAGGTCCCACAACTGGTAGTCTAAAGGATTGAGGTCCGGACTCCCTGAGGGCCAATCTTCCGCAGCAATGAACTCTGGCACATTGCTTTCCAGCCAGCGCTGCGTACTCTTAGCCTTGTGAGCGGGGGCGGAATCCTGCTGGTAGACCCAGTGTTGGTTGGCAAACAATGTACCACTTAAAGGCTTGACGATAGGATCCAGTATGTCGCTCTGATAGTTTGCCGCTTTTGTTTTCACGCCCTGTTTACAGAAATGGAGCTGAGTGACCCAGGGTGGTGGCCTCTCTCAACTCTCGGAATGATCTCCGAAGCTTCCTGTGAACTCCTTGCATACACTTTGTCATTTTGTCGGTTGAATTTTTCTTCTATGGTGAAGATTTTCTCATCCGTGAACAAAATCTTTCGGAATCCCCCAGCTGCGTACCTCTCCAAGAGCTTCTTGGATCTTGTCGCCCTGATGTGTCGCAAGGTGGCCGTAAGTCACTGGCCCGTACGTCTCCGGTAAGCCCCTAGCCCTAGGTCTTGTTTAATGATGCGCGACATCGTCCGGACAGGAATCTTCATTTCCCTGGATAGGATCTTCTGCTTCCGGAGTGGATTCCTTTGAATCCTGGCTTTTACGGCTTTGATGGCTGCTGGAGTCCTTACTTGACGAGGTCTTTCGTTTCTTGGCCTGTCATCAACAGAGGACGTCTCATTGTACCGCTGAATGGTCCTAGACACAAATTTACGCGATATTTGAAGGCCGCGTAAGAGTTCAAAAATCTGACTAGCACTGTGATTACACTTATGTAAAGCTATCACTGCAATACGGTTCTCTGCCTTGCCCCACTCCATCGTTATGCTTCGAGAGATCAATACAAACTGAGGTATATGTAATTACCCGAAAAGCGCTTAATCAACTGACACCACAATGTAAACAATCGGACAAGTATTAACAGGTCTACACTTGTTTGAAAACGAGGGACAGAACTTATGGCATGACTATGTATAGGTACAAAGACTTTGATTTTAATTCTAATGAAGAAACTTTTGAAAGTTTATATAAACTAATAAAGGTTTTTTATCGAAAAACTTGAATAAAATAAGAGTAGGTACTAATGAGACACTTGAGATTGCATATTCTGTACCAGTTGGTTGATTCTAGGTTCTGTTTTTGCCAGAGCTATCATCAGGTCATCGACATCAAGACGATTTCGCTGTTTAGTTTTAATTAAAACTAGAGCAGAAAAACCTGTCTTACATAAGTAAGTAGAAGAAAAAGGAACTAGTATTCGTAAAGCAAGAGAGACAAGTGTCGATTAACAGGCAATCTTTTGATCCAAAATTTCTCCAATGTTAAAAGATGGAAGTCATCTTTCAAGGACGAATCAGCCTTGATTTCTAGAAATTCTTCCTGAACTTCTTCATGGATTTCTTGTCATGTGCCATATTGGTGACTCTGAATTGATGTCTCGATAGTATCGGCGAAATTCGTCTTCCAGCGCTTGCAAGTGAGTCTTTATGTCAGCTTTTAAATTTGCGTCCAGTATGTTATTTTTAATTGCTTCGAACAGCCTAGAAAAAGATATAACATTTTCAGAAGACACTTTTTGATTCCAAAGTTGAAGCTTTGATATGAACCCCTTAATATAATCATAATTGCTTATTATAGTGTTTCTGAATGAAGTTTCAAGTTTAGCTGATTCAAGGAGTCAAATATGTCAGTTAAATAAGCCAACCCCCATTGAAATGTGTCATCTTTGAACAGTGTCAAGAAATCGTGTTTTTTTTGAACTCAAGAAAAAGAATTACCTCTTCTTTCAATTCATAAAGGCGAGCCAACATGTTGCCTTTGGACAGCCAGCGTACCTCTAACTGCACTATACTTCTCTTCGCTCTGCTACTCCACCGTATTGCGTACTCTCTGCCCCATCTCCCTGCCGCCGAGTTATATAATATAGTTCAATTACCGCTGCGAGAAAAATCACGAAGCGATATCTAGAATGTTGGAGATCACTTCGCGTGGATCTAGAAGGCGATCCACTGTCACGGTCCTCATAGCCGCCGCCAGGTGGCTGGTGCGGTCGTGATTCGCGTAAAAGTAGAGATCGGCCATGAAGCTCTAGCGAGTAGGAGACTCGCCCAACAGATGGCGCCGACAGTATGATTTGTCACAATATCTTCAGATTTAGTACCTGCTGGCAAAGATTGCGAGTACAAAATCTCTTCTTGAATGATATCTCCGCCGATGTAACGAACATAAACTATTAACTGTGCACAATTAACGATGTCTGTGGATTCATCGCAACTAATGGCAAAAAATGGCGATAATTTTACTTTGTTAATTATTTGTGACTTTACGTCTGCTGCAATGTCATCGATTCTACGCTTGACTGTGTTATTAGAAAGAGAAATAGACTTCATTTTTTGCTCTGCATCTTCTCCTAAAATTACTGCGTGGCTTTTAGGACACATGATTCATGATTAATTCTTCACCGATAGTATGAGGTTTATTTTGCTGTGATATCATAAAAGCTATTTCAAATGAAGCTTTGAGATGCTGCGATACAACTGTGTGATAACTTCCCGATGTATCCAGTCTCATCGGCTTGAGTGATTCTGCTTTAGAAGAAAAAAACTCTTTCGTCTTCAAAACCAGACTAGGATGTTGTTGCTTCAAATGCTTTTCAAGGCGACTGGGCCTCATGCTATCATTACTTTCATACATATCACACACTGAGGCAATTGTAACTCATCTTTCTCTATGAAAGTAAATCCAAACTAAACGTAATCTTCGGAAAACTTTCTTTTTTCTCTGCCATTTTGCACCTATAGCAATAAAACAAATAAGTAATAAATAAATAAGCAAAATACCTACATGTAATTAAGTTTTGCATATAGAAACATAGTAGGCCGCGCGGATCGAACGTGAGTACTGGATCGTAACCTCACTCTTTAGTAAACTTAAATTCAAAGTTTCACAGCAATACGTGTAGTGTTCTCACTATAGTGAAGTTTTAAGTGTCACTAAGTCATTAGAAAATTGGAACTCAACCGAGAACATTTTCGCGCCATAATTTATTACAACTTTCAGAGACAATTATCGCAACAAGAATGCCTTGCTGAGTTACTGTCTGTTTTCGGCAACGAAGCGCCACATCAGTCGCCAATTTCCCGTTGGTATGGAGAATTCAAACGTGGACGGGTGAGTCTAAGCCCCGTATCGTCAGTCGTCCCTACAATTGTAGGGCGCGTTTATGGCCTCCTTGATTGTCAGACTCCTTTCTCTCCTTCAAAAATTTCTAGATTACACTTGTCCCGTGTCAGCGTCAGCGCACTCCTTTTGTGAAGATATGTTTTCTTTTTAAATTGTAGGAAATTTCAGGCTGATAAAACATGATATTACTCAAAAGCAAGCACAATTTGATGCAAATAGATGTTTGTGACATAACCTCAAAATAGAGCGCTGACACGGAGAAGTAGAAAACTATGACAATCAAGGAGGCCATAAAGGCGCCCTACAATTGTAGGGACGACTGAAGATACGGGCCTTAGCGACGATCCCAGGGTGGGTGCACCAAAAATGGCAGTCACCCAGGAAAACGTCGATGCTGTGCGTAAACTCATCATTGAAGATAGACATGTGACATATCGCGAGATTGAGGCGTCCTTGACGATCTCAAAGACCTCAATTCAAAAAATTTTACATGAAGAATTAGGAGTAAGAAAATTAGTTTCTCGTTGGATACCCCACCTGTTGACTGAAGAGCATGTAGATGTGTATTAATCTTCGTGGAGGATACTTCGAAAAACAATAAAGTCATTTAAAACTACCTACTGTGTGGTTTTATTTCCATATGCAAAACTTAAACGTACCAATTATATGCCCATTATTTTATCTTAATAATGTAAATATTTTTGTAGGCAGGTTGACGTTATAATAGTCATTTTAAATAGATTTGGAATGAGGTACTTAAAGTTCGTCGTTTCAAAATTATTTCGACACGTTGGTTTGATTGTGATGTAAAAAAGTCCCAATGGCCGATCTATGAATGCGTCTCCACCCAATCAACACTTTAGTAAATTAAATAAAAATGGTAACTGAAGTTTGTAAATACACAAACTTACCTTTTAACAGTGAGACACAATAATTTGACACACTCAAACAGATTTGTCAACAAAACATGTACATCGAAAATCAAATTTTTCGCAAGTTTGTGGGAATGAATGTCACAGATGCTCATCCGCGTCTGGTAGGTACACAATTTATTGTTTTCTAAGTGATGACTATTGAGCGGAGCGCGGCGGGGGTGCTCGCGGATTTCATGTTATGACTTGTCGAAACTTGTATAAACTGCGATTGACAACGCCGAGTTATGAAACAGCGGTTGACAGAAAAAGAGAATATGATATTTCACTTCTAATTTTATGCGTGTAAATTAAACATTAAATTGTAATGTTATTTGTTAATGTTGTTTGTTTATTTTTTTTGTTTTTTCTTTCTTTTCTCAAAAATGCAAACGCTTTCCGCCTTCCTCGACATCTCTCTATGCCTCCCTTGGGAGGCGCGACCCCCTGGTTGGGAACTCCTGCTCTACAGACTATCTCGGTATTCTGCAACCAACAAAACATGATGTAGAACTGACTTACAGCTTGAAGCATGGTCATTGAGCGAGTTGTGTCGTTGAGTCATTCCTCCATCGATTGGCGCTTTTGATGACGTTCACGGCGCTAATAGCGGGTAACCGCGGAAGGTACTATTTGCACACTAGGAACTATCTTGGCAGCAAGTTGACATTTTGTCGGCACATAACAAATGTTAACACCATGGCTATAACATACAAAAATGTTCGTGGCTAAAGAACAAAAAAGAAAATTATTTTCTACGCAACTGACTTTTGAAACATTCATTGCATTTTTGAATAATTTTACGTAAATCGCATCTCTTGGCCAGACTATTATATTTTGGAGCTTATCTCGCTAAAACATTATTTGAACATTATTTATGTTTTCTCCTTATCCAGTTTCATCAGTGGCCCAGAAATTTTCACACTCTGTACCTCAGTCACGGGCCATTTCAGGATCTCTATTTAAGAAACATTTTATTCTATTTTTTAATGTACTTGCTGCTAAAGAAAGATTTCCATTGTTTTTTAATCACCTGTATAACAGCTAACTAATCTGGCGACGCGCAGTGTGAAAACTTGTAGTTTAATCATACCCCTTTCTTCTTTTCTTCCTTTCTTTCGTCTTCCTCTATCTTCTACTTAATAAAAATTTCCCCTGGCTGGGCTCAGGAAGATTTTGAAGAAATAAAACATCATTCTGCCAGACAAGAGACAAGGTCCTGCGGACCGCTCAAATAACAAACGACGAGAAGAGATTAGTCTGATCATATTAGCATAAAATGGGTACACCAGTTTTTGTGGTGAAACTTTTCATTCGACAAAAAAGAATGAGAGAACGCGTTTTTGGGGATTATATCGAAAGTGTTGGAAGGAACGGAAAAACTCTTCAAATAAGATTTTTAGCCATTTAGGAGACCTACAGAAAGAGACTACACGTAAAAAGATACCACTAATAGTAAAAAAGTTATGGCCGAAAACCGAGGCAAATTGCAGGTTTTGGCACTTGTTGCTAATGCGACGATACCTTCACGCAGCTACTTGAATTTCTTCAAAGGCTTGTTACTTCTAAATAACCACAACAAAATTGGAGTTGATTGGTCAATCAGTTTTTGAGAATGTCTAATTATTTATCCCAAAACACCTATCTTTCGGCCATCACTACTATTTATTGAGCAATACACAGGGTTCGTTCATAATAATCCGACAGATAATTATCTTTCGGCATAAAAATAACAACTAATTGTTATTTTTATGCGAAAAATGAAGGGTTACGTTTTTTCTTCAAAACAAATTCAAATATTTCGTATTTGGGAATTGGTGATTGAACAGATTCGCTACGATATTCGAAAAACATACGTTATTATACACATTTTAAAACAAAGCGGATATGTCTATCATCTTTTTTTTGTGGTTGTCCATCACCTTTTGTTGTGAGGAAAATTTTTTTAAGATTTCTTCATAATCTTGTGTATACATATTTAGAGCTGCAATTTTTACTCGGTCGGTCACAGATGAGCCTTAAAATTCATAAAAAAAAATATTCCACACTGAAATGCGCTGAATAAAGTTAACACGCAAATTGAAGACACAATTATGTCTCAAACTGTCTTAGACTAGTAAGTATGTAGCATGTGCTAAATGGCTGCATTATTGATGACTGCATCACTTTATCAAATAAGTAGGTCACGTAACCCAGTTTCTTTACGAAGAAATGTAATTCCGTGGACCTTTTTTCTAAAAGTATTAATATAATATACGTCTGTTTTCGAAATCTCATACGATTAAAACGACTGCGAGTTCAAAATGTTGGGAAATAAAACTAGAGAAAACGGAAAAACAGTAGGAAAATATTAACCAATTGTAGCGAAATGACCATCTGAAAAATTAGGCAAAATCCTCGGTGTTAGTCCCGTTATTTAAAGTTTCAGCATTGTATCTGGTATGGTATTCAAGAGTATTCTAATTGTTTATAACAGATTTGATGTCTCCAACGTTCGCTTGACGTTTGTCAGTGTCAAGTATAGTGGCATAAAGATCCAGTAAACCAAGTGGCGCCGTAGCGTAATGGGCAGGATGACGATTGTAGTACCGCAGGACGGAAGTTCGAATTCACAAAGCTGATTTTTTCTATCATTTTTTTTTTATTTCATTATTGTTGGTTAGTTTACATATCTAAGATATTTGTTTTTAAAAACTATCTACTATAATCCGACATAATGCTTCTGAAATTTTATCAAACTAATATAAAAAAAAATATATAAACAATCATTCGTATACCCTTGGTTTCCTGTTTGCAAGTTTACATTGTCTATGGCGGGCCAAAACCTGTTTGATGGCAATAAAAGTACACATAATATGAAAAAACATTTATTTCTCCACATTTTAAGAAAATTGATAGAAAAAAAGGAACTTTCCTGCGGTTCTGCAATCGTCAATCCTTCCCATTACGCTACGGCGCCACTTGGTTTACTGCATCTTTCTGCCACTGTATTTGACACTGACAAATGTAAAGCGAACGTGGGAGGCATATCAAATATGTTATAAACAATTAGAATACTCTTGAAAACCATACAAGATTCAATGCTGAAACTTTAAATAATGTATTAAGGACTAATACCTAGCAGTTGCCTAATTTTTCAGACGGCCAGTTAGCTACAATTGGTTGATATTTGTCTACTCTTTTTACGTTTTCTCGAGTTTATTTTCCAACATTTTGAACTGGCAGTCGTTTTAATCGTACGAGATTTCAAAAACAGACGTATGCTATATTAATACTTTTAGAAGAAACATTCACTGAATTACATTTCTTCGTAAAGAAACTGGATTACGAGACCTACTTATTTGACAAAGTCATGCAGTCATCAATAATGCAGCCATTTAGCACATGGTACATACTAACTAGTCTAAGACAGATTGAAACATAATTGTCTTGAGTTTGCAGTGCCAACTTTATAAAAAGTTAAGCGCATTTCAGTATGAAATATTCTTTTTTTATAAACCTTAATATGTTTGTTTTTCGAATATCGTAGCGAATCTGTTCAATTACTTACAAATAGGAAATGTTTGAATTTGTTTAAAAGAGAAAACAACGTAACCCATCGTTTTTCGCATAAAAATAACTATTATCTTTCAGAATGGCTTGTGATTCATATCGGCAAGGTAAACTCGTGTATTTCGCTATAAAATGCCCTTTGAACGAACTGTGTATATTGCTCAATAAACTAGTAGTGATGGCCGGAAGACAGGTGTTTTGGGATAAACAATTAGAAATTCTCAAAAACCACTAGACCACTCGACTCCATTTTTGTTGTGGTTATTTAGAACCTTCGAATTTGAAGAATTTCAAGTGCGTGAAATTATTGCCGCATTAGCAACAAGTACCAAAATCTGCATTTTGCCTCTGATTCCGGCCATAACTTTTTTACTATTAGTGGGATCTTTTTACGTGTGGTCTCATTCTGTAGGTCGCATAAATACTTAAAAATCATACCCATTTTATGCGTACATGTTTTAAATACCCCCTTGAACAACTTGCATCAATAAAATATGGTTAGACTACTGGCAAAAACTTAAAAAAAACGGCAATATCCAGAAACATGGCTTGGGCAACCATACGCGTGAGCGATTGCGGCCTCATTGAGGAGCTTTCAGTTCGAGAGTGTTCGACGTCATTGAGATGAATGTACTGCCATCTACACCACTTTCATGGCTCGGCCTGGAAAACGCTGGTATATCTCGACGCGACGATAGTGGAATAAGTAATATAGGCAGAGATGGCGGAAGAACAGTCAGCAACCTATTCGTCAACATAATCCAGTCGACATGGTTATAAATTTGTCATAAATTATTAATAAATAATAATATTAGCCTTTGAACGGTGTCGAAGCTGAACGTGGGTACTGTGACGTCATGGCCGAACCTTAACGCGCGAGGGCGGTTACCTACAGCACCCAACGGAGAAAATGTTATAACCTCCTCAAATCTCAAGTTATTTCTTTCATATTTGTCAATTTCCTGGAAAAAGGCAACATTGGTGGTGGAAACGTCGTACAATAAACAAATTTGTATGTGCTTTGATTTGGCTAGATGGAGTCACTTGTGAAGTCAGTATATTATCGATGAAAACAAAACAATGCCGTACATAAGCAGATATTTATTTAAATATTCACAGTGGCGCTTACACAAAGTAAATGGGTGTAAATCATAATGAACCATTTTTCATTAGATAATGTTTTAGTAGTAATATTTTTGATAACTTCTAATCATAAGCATAGGGCATATAAGAATATTTTTGCTTACTGACTTTTCAATAGGCTAGTTGAAAATTTTTTATGTAGGTCTTAAATGGTTAATATTTGTTCCATTAGACCAAAAAATTAATACTATATTTTTTCACCGTACAATTCAAACGTTCAAATTGTTTTTTTAATAAAATGAAAAAATTATAACTTTTACGTTGATTAAGAGTGACATAAGGATGACATTTCTTTGTTTAAATTTATATGACGTCACATCATGGGCGTTTCATATTAAACAAAAAATATATTCTTTTTTTAAATTGGTATAAATATCTCGCGCTTTTAAAAATTGTGACCGATATATTTCGCTTTCCTAAGCCAAATACTGTAAGAAATACTCATTGTGCGAAATTAGATACGAGTCAAGTAGCCTATTGTCATTTTTTAATGGTCAATCGAATGAACTCATTGTAAAAACAGAAATGTGGTTCGTAAGTACTCGTAGCTGGAATGTCATTTTCCATTACACAGCTTATGGTAACTTGGAAAAATAATGAATAATATTTTTAACAGTCTTCTGTACCTTATAGAGAGTAATAGTAATACAGATATTGAAGCAAATTCAAATAAAATCTGTAAAACGTGCTTATAAACTTTTAACATAAAACAGAGATAAAATTCATAACAATTTCCTATTGCACAATAAAACAAGTAATAGTACGTATATAAAATGCATTAAAATCACGCAACACTGTTTCAAGCAAATAAATAATTATTAGAAATAATAGTCGCACGCTCGCAGTCGACAGTGATGTCTAGGTATAAGCTTAATAAATTAATTAAATTACGACAATAAATTATATTTGCATAATTATTAATCTAAATCCTTTGGATCTCGAACAACTTCACGTCAGTATCGTACCAAACAGGAGGATCAACATTCCTGAAAATACAATTTTTTTTTTATAGAAACAGCAATATAACAAATTATTTCCATACATTTTTAAGAACTGTACTGCAGAACCAAATATCTTTCGGAGAATCCAAGTCATATAATTTCGATCATTTAATTTTACACGGATCTGCTAATTTTTGGCATTTTATATAAAATCCCTAATGATGATTCAAGTAAAAAATGTAACCCAAACATTTTTTCATTGACATTTTTAGGTTTGAATTTGTCAACGATTCATACAGCTATTGCTATTACTAGCATTTGGTAAATGAAACATGCTTGATTTTCTGAAAAAAAATACTTTGGTGATAACGTCCCAAAACTACTGAACAGACTTTTTTTGACTTTCCAATTTATATTTGTATATTTATACAAAACTTGTGTTCTTAAACTGCCTTTGCGCGTGAACCACACACGCATTTATTAACTTGACCTGTATGTATAGTTAAGTATGAATGGCAATTTGCCAGACTTCACCACTTGTATGCATTTGTTACAATAAAGTTGATTAAATTGCATGTATGTATGTATATAACGGAATCTTTCAACCTATTTTTCGAAAATTTTAAGAAGTTTGATTATCTTGAAAATTTGACAGGGGTCCATGAAGATACAATAATCTTAAAAAAAGAATAGAAGTTTTTTTAATAATTTGCATTTTGAAATTTGGAAAATAATTTGAAGATTCAGATTTGAAAAAAATTTTACATTCGGAAACTTTAGAAGTAAATTTAGATATACTGTCAAATATAAAATATACCAAAAACAAAAGCTCTAGATTACTGTTGTCGTTTTGAGACTAAATATTCAAAAAAGAAACATGATTTAATAGCAAATCGAACTAAAAAGTAAAAAATAATAGGAGAGTGTGCTACTCCAATAGAAAGTCCAACAATCAAGCCTGACTAATTAATTTGGAAAAGGTCAATATAAAAACTAAGATATTAACCAACAAATCTATTTTAGTGTAAAAAAAAAATTAACTATATTTTCATAATAACTCCAATTTTGTATATAGCAACTAAACAATGATTCTTAAATTTAATATCAGCACCCCACGCTTTTTTACTATAACTGAGTGTTTTGTTAACATCTTCATGTTTATACTGATCTTATTCCAAATTAGACATACTTGATTGTTAGACTTTATATTGCTTCAACACAAACTCTTCTATACTTGAAAATTATTTTCTACGGTTTCGTTCGATTTGCTAATGAAGTGTGTTTTTTAAACTACGTAGTCATGCCATAAGTTCTGTCCCTCGTTTTCAAACAAGTGTAGACCTGTTAATACTTGTCCGATTGTTTACATTGTGGTGTCAGTTGATTAAGCGCTTTTCGGGTAATTACATATACCTCAGTTTGTATTGATCTCTCGAAGCATAACGATGGAGTGGGGCAAGGCAGAGAACCGTATTGCAGTGATAGCTTTACATAAGTGTAATCACAGTGCTAGTCAGATTTTTGAACTCTTACGCGGCCTTCAAATATCGCGTAAATTTGTGTCTAGGACCATTCAGCGGTACAATGAGACGTCCTCTGTTGATGACAGGCCAAGAAGCGGAAGACCTCGTCAAGTAAGGACTCCAGCAGCCATCAAAGCCGTAAAAGCCAGGATTCAAAGGAATCCACTCCGGAAGCAGAAGATCCTATCCAGGGAAATGAAGATTCCTGTCCGGACGATGTCGCGCATCATTAAACAAGACCTAGGGCTAGGGGCTTACCGGAGACGTACGGGCCAGCGACTTACGGCCACCTTGCGACACATCAGGGCGACAAGATCCAAGAAGCTCTTGGAGAGGTACGCAGCTGGGGGATTCCGAAAGATTTTGTTCACGGATGAGAAAATCTTCACCATAGAAGAAAAATTCAACCGACAAAATGACAAAGTGTATGCAAGGAGTTCACAGGAAGCTTCGGAGATCATTCCGAGAGTTGAGAGAGGCCACCACCCTGCGTCAGTCATGGTTTGGTGGGGGGTGTCCTACGAAGGGGTCACTCAGCTCCATTTCTGTAAACAGGGCGTGAAAGCAAAAGCGGCAAACTATCAGAGCGACATACTGGATCCTATCGTCAAGCCTTTAAGTGGTACATTGTTTGCCAACCAACACTGGGTCTACCAGCAGGATTCCGCCCCCGCTCACAAGGCTAAGAGTACGCAGCGCTGGCTGGAAAGCAATGTGCCAGAGTTCATTGCTGCGGAAGATTGGCCCTCAGGGAGTCCGGACCTCAATCCTTTAGACTACAAGTTGTGGGACCTGCTAGAGCAGTTGGCCTGCTCCAAAGCCCACCGTAATATCGAGTCCCTGAAAGCGGATTTGATCCGATCAGCGGCAGCTATTCCTTTGGAAGCTGTGCGTGCAGTGATAGATGAGTGGCCCGCGAGATTGAAGCAGTGTGTGAAGGCCAAGGGGGGACATTTTGAATAAAACTGTTTGATTATGAATTCTAAAAATGTTGTCGAATAAATAATATCTTTCATATAAATATATCTTATCTTGTTTCATTTTTATCATGAGATTATCATGGGACAGAACTTATGGCACGACTACGTATAATTTATATGGTTTGAAGACAACAGTTTTTCCGAATTCAGCGTTAGTTTGTCAAACCTAGGCGATTATAATTTGTATTATTTATAAAAGGACGCTTTAAATCTCCCGTATTTATAATGTATTCGAATCCTATTTATACCCCGTCAAAACAAACATGAGCACTCGATCATCGCATCTTTTCGTTTGTTGCTGCAACGCCCAGGCATTTATGGCCCGCTGGCCTATATACGCATGCGAATTTGAACATCGCGCGGTGATTTTATTTCAACGGGACGTAAACTGGATTTGAATACATTACAAATAAAATTTAATTTGTTCTTGCTGCAGTGATAAAATAATAAAAAATACGCACCTTAAATATATTACTCCCCACATATAAGTCCTAAACCACGTTGTAGTACCAGAGTTAGCCTGATACTTCCTTATCAAGATGGGATGGGGTACAGGCAACAAGCCAACTAATGTTCCGTGCTGAAGAAACTTCAGTATTTCACTTTCGTCCGTGAGTCCCCTTAAAGGTAAATTTCCAGAAATTAACAAAATGCTTTTCTAATCTTTTGACACTTTGTCTTCCACAAAACGCAAAGGATCGGTGGCCAATTACGTATAATACTACTGTTGTACCCTATACTTACTTATCAATACAAATTTTCTCAACTTGTGGTACAAGCACTTGCAGTAACCGCATGATTGTTTGTAGTGGTAACTTGCTCTTCCACGAATGTACCCATTCTGCTGTTGGTACCCATTGCCCATTCGTCTCAATTGGGGCTGTCACCCTCAAGCTACTCCTCTAAAATATACCCTACATTGTAGTTATTCAGTTGAAAAGGAAAACATCATTCTTTTGCACTGCTCAGTTGTGGCAATGGTATTTACTAATTCACGTGACACCTGCTCAACAGACAGATATCCAATTATAGAGCTGGGAAGAAACAATAGACTCAACAAGAAAATACAAAATAAAAACGGTTATCCGCAAAGAAACAAGCACATTATTTACCATATACCAATCAGTAACCTATTAAAACCGTGAAACTTAAAATTTTCATTAGAGAGAGTTCGCCTTACCGTCGAAACATCTCTCCTTAAATCTCTAATACTACAAGAAAAGTTGTCTATCATATCTGATATTCAGTCAGAATTACGACAAATTACAGGATGCGGCAGCATAAAACTTCCTTTTTTTAAAATGCGCGCCATTCAGTCGGTTGATATAACGTCGCGCCAGAGCTCTCGCTCGAAAGGCGGAGCTATAAAGTCTTGTCCCGATAGAGTTCAGTCGCCATCATGAACTGGAACAGTGAGGAGCGTAATTTTGTCGTTGAGGCCAACTTTTCGTGATCGCCACCCAGCGCGCTTTTCGGAATCACTTTAATTTAGCCCCGTTGGTCCCCGTCCCGGACAAAAAATCAGTTGTTACGTGGATCAATGCGTTCAGACAAAGTGAAAGTGCGACAAGACGAAGAACTGGAGTGCCTCGGCCCAGTGAGAGCTTCAATATTGCGATCGTCATGGCGTTCTCTGGGCAAACATACGTATTGAACTTTTCGATCGTTCTGTGAGGCGAATTCTTCATGATGATCTTCATTCCCAGCCTTGCAAGATGACAGTTGGTTCCTGAGAACGCTATTTTTTTTAATGATGAAGCCCATTTTCATTTGTGTGTATGCGTCAATAAACAAAACATGCGCTACTGGGCTGACACGAATCCTAGATAATTGTAACAACTGCCTTTGCACTCACCTACAGTCACAGTGACAGTGAATTCGGACTGGTATGTAAACATGTTACAGGATTTTTTTTTTCACAGCTAGAAGAGTTAGACCCAGGGGACATTGGCTGTTTTGAGGGAACACTTCCCAGAGCGCCTCATCTCAATTAGTAGCGATTTTCTGAAATCCCGTGTTTTTGTGGACCATCCAAGGACCCTACAAGATGTGAAGACCAATAACCAGGAAGAAATTGCCAACATAACGCCTGCTATGACGGCAAGAGGCATTTCAAACGCCAGAAATCGGTTTACTCGGCGTATGCAGACCGGGGACGTCACTTATCTGATTTGATCTTCAAAACAATGTAAAACAAAACTTTAGGCATGTGCCTACTTATAAAAATGGCGTCAAGTAGGTTGCTTCCCACACAACGCTCTTATCGGTACATAAAATAATATATTCAGCACAAACTAGACCCTCTGACAAAAAGTCAAACACGTCCATACAATTGGTCCATAGACATTCTTTCACTGCCCTACCGGTAGTGCATCTGGAAGCGTCGCCTCTCCCCGATACCTGAATCGAGCAGACGGGGCACCGCGGCAGAAATATGAGTGATTCTATACCAGCTCTGGTGACGGTCGGCGCACGACGCCAGGGCTAATGTACAGGGCGGCTAACTAAGAATGCGAGGTACTGTATCTTTCCATCGTGGGGGCTTGCGACAAAAACAGTTATCACTAAAACGGCAAAGAGTAAAACACGGAAAATATTTTCAAGTTTCTGAAATGGCCGCTAGGGGGCGTAACAGCAATCTTGAATACAAAAAAGTGATGTTTCTGTGAATTCCGTTATATTAACCTATCAAAAAAAAATACCTGATCTTTAAATTCGAGGATAATCTGAATATTTCTTGTTTGACAATGTTTGCTGTATCTCTGAAAATAAAGTGGTGGGGTACTGGAAGGTTTCCGTAAAAGACAGCGAAACGGCTGAGCCGATTCTAACAAACTTCGGTAAGTTGAAAAGAGCTATTCTTGGGCTACAAATGTTATAATATTTGAAGTTTTGTTAGTTTCACATGTGGCCGATAGAGGGCCTTTTCGACATTCCGACAGAAATGGTTAATTTTCTAAAAAAATAATGTCGATATCTTGATCCTAACCTAAAATTTAGGCCAAAGAAAATTTATTCGGAAATCCCTCAATTTTTTATTTTGTCAAACTAATTTTTTTGGAATTTCTTTTTATTATTAAGTTGGGGCCCTAAAAAAGACCGATTTAAAAAAGTTTTCGATGCCGACGCAGATGCTCGAAATGCTGACCATCACGCTATATGCATTCCTGAAGCCTCTCATGGGTAGTCAAAACTGCAGCTTCAATTTCGGCTCTCGGTATGTTGCGTATCCGAATCTGGTTTTTCATATCTTGTCTGGTTGTAGGTTGAGTCTGAAACACGATGTCCTTTAACCGTCCACATAAATAAAAATCAAGACAAGTTGAGTCTGGCGATGGCGAAGGCCATGGAAACAAACTTCCTCTTCCAATCCTCCGTTGTTGAAATACTGCATTAATATGATCTCGCACAATAATAGCCAAATGTGCTGGGCAAACATCCGACTGCAAAAACAAGTTTTGCCGTGTTTCCAGTGGCACATGTTCCAACAACGGTCATTGATTGTCCAAAAAGTCAAGAAAAATATTGCCATTTCGGGGTTGCTCGAAAACATATTACCCTATAATTCTACCTCCCAGTATGCTACACCACACATTTAAACTCCAACGCCCTTGCTACTGAACTTCACGCAACCAATGCGGATTTTCTGCATACCAATAAAGCATATTGTGCAAATTGACTCTTCCGTCACTATTAAAGGTGGCTTCATCGGTCCAAAGAATTTGAAATAAAAATTCTCTATTTTTGCGTATCATGCCTAACATCCAATGGCAATAGTCCAACCTCGGATCAAAGTCTTCCTCTTTCAAGGCCTGATGCAAAACGACATCATAAGGGTGCATTCTAAGAGTAATTAAAAAAAGTTAAATTCAAATAAATCCCTATATTTTGATGGCCTTACCTATGGTCATTCAAAATATTATGAACCGTTGTCCGTGACATGGCCAACTCAAGGGATAATGCCCTTGTGCTAACAAGATGATTTTCTTCAATATACCTCAGTACGCGGTTTAATATTTTCTTGTGTTCTTCCAATTATTTGCCGTTGAAACGTAGGCCGAAAACTACCATTGGCTTGTAAGGTCGCCACTAATCGGGAAAAATTCTCACATCGCAAAGACGCCGATTTGGATATCGAGTCGCGTAAACTCTTTTTGCTACTGCGGCATTCTGAAGACATTCAAAATAAACTGCAAGCACATCAACAGTTCCATCGTTCGTAACACGCATTTGGTAAGCACAAAAATTGCTCAGAGTAACGCGAAACTGTTGTTTTGATGTTGTATTCCATGGCATGCTTCTATTAATTGTCTTTTTCGTATATACCCATAGTGAATATGCATTTAAACAAAAAAGATGCATTTTTTTATTAGCATTACTTACCGTTTAGCGATATTTCTAAATTTTTTCAAAACGGGTATTTTATTCTGATGAATAAAAAAGAATTCCAGAAAAATTAGTTTAAAAAGATAAACATTTAAGGGATTTAGCTACTTTTTCATAAAAAAATCAAACCAATGCATTTATTTTTTTATTTATTTACTTTTTTTTTGAGAAAATTAACCATTTCTGTCGGAATGTCGAAAAGGCCTTCCAACGGCCACATGTGAAACTAACAAAACTTCAAATATTATAACATTTCTAGCCCAACAATAGCTCTTTTCAACTAACCAAAGATTGTTAGAATCGGAAACCTTTGAATACCCCCACCACTTTATTTTCAGAGATACAGCAAAAGTTGTCAAACAAAAAAGGTTCAGATTATCCTCAAATTTAAAGATCAGGTATTTTTTTGTTCGGTTAATATAGCTGTATTCACAAAATCATCACTTTTTTAGATTCAAGATTGCAGTTACGCCCCCTAACCGCCATTTCAGAAACTTGAAAATATTTTCCAGGTTTTTCTCTTTGCCGTTTTAGTGATAACTGTTTTTGCCGGAAACCCCTACAATGGATAGATACAGTACCTCGCATTCTTAGTTGGCCAACCTGTACTTAGCTACTTTTTCATAAAAAAATCATAATGCTTTTAATTTTTTTGAGAAAATTAACCATTTCTGCCGGAATGTAGAAAAAAGCCCTTAAGTGGCCACATGTGAAACTAACAAAACTTTATTATACATTTTTCTATTTTTATTATATATTATTATTACATTTGTAGCCCAAGAATAACTCTTTTCAACTAGCCCAAGGTTGTTAAAATCGGCTCAGCCGTTTCAAAGATACATTCTTAGTTGGCCACCCTGTACAGACAAATCTGAGATGTGTGAAATATGTCTAATAGGTGCGTAGAATTACCAACGTTGGGAGCGTATAAATGTGCCAGCATCAACAAATTGAGATAAACCCTCCCCACCACCTTACAACCCCCACGCCTGCTTTTTTACCTGTGAAATTTTTTTCAAAAATGATCAGGATCCTCAGAAACTTCAAAAAATGAAGTTTGAGCGATTTTAACTTTTTTCGTTTTAGGCCTTTTTCTCTGCCGCCACGATGTGCCTAATAGTGCTACTGAAATTATCTACTTGAATATTGTAGGTTACAGCACAGTTGCCAGATCTGAGAATTCTAGTAACTGGTTTTCATAATTCGTAGAAGGATGTGGAATCGTAAACAGTTCTGTATTGCGCGTTCGTCCTTCATTACCATTATGATTTATGTGTGCAAGCACCTCTGGGCAATCTGACACGATTGACTATTTTAGACAGGAAAATCAAAAATTTCACTGTGGCGTTTCAAGGAGTCGATGATCAACGTACTCATTAGTCCTGAAGAATTATGACTCAGACCAATTTTAAGAGCTGTCTGTTTTAAAATTTTACCTCGCAATGCTTCCACGATACCATTGTGTTGCCATGGTTTTTCGTGATCTACATGTCATCTAATATCCAAAAAAAATATCTCTACAATACTTCCCCGCTAGTAGTCGTGGGAAGTAAAAAACAAATAAAAATATTCTGAATCATACAATGGGTTTTATTAAAATTGAAAAAAGGAAGTTATGGTGCCACACAGGTGATGACAACAACAAATTTGTACGAGTGACGGGAAGATAGATAGACAAGAGAATAAGTCGAGTAATATAAAAGGGTAATCAATCTTACTGTTGAGTACTTTGAAAATTATCTGTGTTTTGGTAGATTCGACAGATCGCAGAGGCTCAGAAGGACATCATTATGAAAGCCATGGGGTGGATATCTCCCATCCAATTTGAGCCACAAGTATTTAACAAATCGCATTTGATCTATTTCCAAACTCTTTGAATTCACTCCGTAATGTGGACTAGAGACAACAGAACATTATTCTGATTTGGATCTTACAAAAACAATATAAAGTAAGAAATAGCACTTGATACCAGACTAAACTGGACATCTTACATTGATTATTTACATTCTAGACTGTCTACACAATTATTTGTTATTAGGCAGTTAAGCAGATGCCTCGATATCCATACTTTGCGGGTAGTGTTCCATAGTCACATTACATATGGCACAATGCTCTGGAGAAATTCAGTAGCATCTAGCAAAGTTTTTATTTTATAAAAAACGGCTTTGAGAATAATTACAAATTCCAGGTATGGATCAACGTGCAGAAATCACTTCAAGAATCTACAAATATTACCACTTGCATAAATTTATATTTTTGAAGTCATATGTTATGATCACAGAAATCTAAACAAATATCAAACCTAACGTTAAATTACATAATTTACTCGTCAATGCAAATAAACATAATTTTTCATCGCTACGTCTCAAAGTTTGCTAAAAAAACATTGCTAAACCACTGTTCTATTCAGTTGATCAGTACGTTGATGCTATGACGTCACTCGGATAGATAATACATTAGGTTGTAAGACCTCACATGTACATTGTAAATACATAATGTGATCAATAAATTTATTTATGGTATGTATGGTATTGTGCCAGGCTCAGTAAAATTTTTAGAATTCCTAATTAATTGTTTATAATATTCCCACATAAGCCAATAGAAATGATCGCGAATAGTTTTGAGTTAGAGTATTTCATTAGCCTCTAAAGCCCAGTTACTTAATACTCGTGATAAGACAGTTTAATACTATACTATAAACAGGGCAAGGCCTATTTGAGAATCATAAGGATCACTTCCCCTTTTCAATTGTGCCTAATAGTGTCCAGTTTAATGCATAGTTACAGAAGCATATAACTTACCGTTTTCACCGATCTGGAAAATGACGACTCGTTTCCGTTTGAACTCTTTACTTTTGAAGCATCCTTCTTTGAGGTTTTCTGCAATTTAAAAGACATCATTTATAATATTACCCTTTATTTATTTCAACATACTTATGGGTTAATTTTAAACACGTAAATTGAACAGATTTGCAAGTTATATCATGGATAGAAAATTCTCAATACGAGGAACAAGGCGGAACTCGAGTGATCACCGACAGCTGTCATGATAGCCACAGTGGCACTCGAGTACGACTGCCATTCGTCCAGGATTCCCACGACAGGGTTATTACGTAATTTGAAACGTGACATGTATTTTTTTACATTATGTAGATTTCTTTATGTCATTATGTATGTTTTCCGACAATACGTCAACCTGAAACTAGCTGTCGTTCACTTCATGCTCACTTGCAGCAAGCGCGGAATCAACTATTTGCACACTAACCTATTTAGTCAAGAAATGGGCATTTTATCGTTTTTTTTGACATTATATAGGTTTTTTACGTAATAACCCTGCCGATTTGTCCTAGGTTAAAAGGAGTCCGGAGGCTGTTCGGAGGGTATTTTCAAAGTGTCCAGGGATTCCCCAGTGGAATATTGTGAAATATAAGACGCGGGATCAAAGGTGTTTTGTTGTGCACCCCACTACGGCTCGCATCATCCCGGTACAACGACCTTCATCACCCTGTACACACACATTCACACCGCCCTGTACAACCAGCCAGGCGACACCATCGCAGTGTGCGTTCGTAGACAATCCTCAGACTTATTTCGTAAAAACCCTAGAGATTTCAAAAAATCGTGTGCTAAAGTAGCTGCCAGTGTGCCGCTAATTCATTCCGCGCCTACTACAAGTGGGCCTGAAGTGATCGTTAGCTAGTTCAAAGGTGACATGTTATAGAAAAACCTACATGTCAAAAAAACCTACATAACGTCAGAAAGAATCGATATAATGTAACGTAATACGGGTGCCGCATTCATTAGTGATTTTGAACGTGATATTGACTATGACCTTTAAGGTCATTTGTAGATTAAGTCAGTTTTCTAAAATGAAACCCCCATTTTTGACACCGGAAATGTAAAGAGCGGGAAAAGACATTAAACTATGACTCTGCCCATGACCTTGACCATGATCTTCATGGATATTTGAGGATGTCCAGAAAGTAGGAAAAAGACGAAACATCTCGAAAAATACAGTTCCTAAAGAAAAATGGTGTATTACAGTTTTAAGGTTTGAAAAGATTCATTCAATCGTGACATTGGCTATGACCTCCAAGCACATGTCAAGGCAGTTTTGTTTAATGAAAACCCGTATTTTTGACTCCGGAAACAAAAAGAACATAAAAATTTCAAGTTCAAGTATGTCCATGGCCTTGACTATTGATCATAAAGGTAATTTGAAGATCAAATGCATTTTAAACCGGAAACGTCGATTTTCAATTTATGAAATGCAAATCGCGGAAAATTTTAAGTTCAAGTATATCCTTTGCAATGACCGCCAAAGTCATTTTAAGATCAGGTAATTTGCAAGTAAATCCGTCACTTTTTGTCAAGAATATAAAAAAGCAAATCATTGAGATTATTTTGTTGTTGCATTTAAATATTGGTTCACTGCCTAAGTAACTACTGCATAACTTTGAAAACTGTATTTCATTTTCCAAAACCAATGTCCTTCACACTAATGCAAAACGAATAAACTCGTATACTTCACCCTACTTCCACGCAATGTCCTTTTAATTCGTAGTTTGGAAAAGGCCGCTGAGGTTGCCGAAACGTCAGTAATGAGTCAGTTCTACTCATGTGGTTTCGTTCAGCGGTCAGAAAAACATGGACTTGATAACATGATAACCATATGACCAATCTCAGATGAGACCTCAATTACGCATTGCAATGATGCTAAACATATATATGCTTGTACCTTTTCTTTTAGATCCTTCATATCCTCTACACCAGTCACGCCCACAACCCCCTCTGATTCGTTGGCTGGTGGATGGGCAGACTCGCGCTCGGTCATTTGTCCGATGTGGGGTGTGTCGGGCAATGTGGCATTCAAAGTGCCCGGTTCAGCAGGCAACGCCGGTCGGGATCCTTCCATCGCCACTTCTTCTTTCTCACCGCTTTCACCGTGAGAAGGATCGCTTTCCGCGCGACCACTGTCTATTTCAGATGATGAGGTGACTGTATCTCGGCCTTTGGTCCGCCTACAATGAATGATGGATCAAAACGTGGACTAGCAAGGCACTGATTACTATTGTTTGGCTGTTCTCTGATATTTATATATTAAGCCCTAAAACGATATCTTCACGGTACCAAAATAGAAAGATTCGGTACTATCAATAGATAAATATGCTCTATTGTCTAAAGAATACAATCATTCTTAATGACAAAGCTCAGTTAGAATTAAACTATAACATAATTACATAGGTGAATCTTAAGCAGGTGAACGGTGAACTCACACATGGTATATATGGATTACATATTAAAACGTTCACGGCAGAATATCTTTAAATTGTTAATTCTTTTACTAGCATCAGGGAGATATGTAAATTTTCAGACCATTATAAGTAACTGAGTCTTTCACAAGTGTTGATTTAGGTACTACTAATTTGAGATCTTGTTCTCGTCTAATATTGTAGCTTATATTTCATTCAAAAATTAGATTTATTTAAAAAAATAAGAGATACTGTTTCCAAAGAGGACAATGATAAGACATTTTAAGATATGCAAATAAAGGCCAGCAAGTAGCTCCAGAGTTGCTCTTATATACCTGATAGTTCGTTTTTGTAGAATAATCACTTTTTTTAAACAATTTTGGGAACATACACACCAAAAGGGCTTGCGTATATCTCAATCTACTTTCAAATTAGACAAAGTAACTGCTGAAGGCTGTGCTTTTTCCTGCATTGTAACTAATTGTTCTTATAATAAAGGAAATCTTTGCTAGTTGAGTAGTAAGCAATTTGTCTGCATGATTACTAAAATCTAATTTATGATCAATAGTCAGTCCCAGAAATTTGAAGCTGTCTGTCAAGGGATCATTTAAAAGTCATACATTTTGTGTTATTAACATTGAAACTCATGTAATTGTTGTCACACCATTTTCTCATCACTATCTACATTTGAAAGTGACTAGATATTTCAAAAGCGTGAAAGAACGAAGTTTGTGATTTTTTAAAACTGCTGATTCTTCGACAAAAAAAATTAACAACGCCCAAAGGAGATCAGAAATTCGTAAAACGAAATTTAAAAATTTTCGTTTCTCACTCATAACTCCAACGCCGTTGAACATCGTTTTGAAATACACAAAGCGTTTTTATTCTTGGCATGATGGTAACCTTCTATACAAATTTCTTCGAAATCCAAACAATACTTCCGAGTTATATTAGGGACAAAGATCGCCCAGTCAGACGGCAGATGATTGTGATATACTATATATGTATATATCCGTACTTAGATGGACATAGTGAAGTGGTAGGTAGTATGGATATCTGGAATTAAAAAAGTCCTAAATTCAGTTTTTACGGACATAAAAGTTGCCTAGGAGTAACGCTAAACTAGATAGACGGTTGAAAAATCCAGGGGCGGACACCGCATTTTTAACAAAAAGCCAATGTATAGTGCTAATTAATGTTTTAGCTTTTTAATTAAATATTTTTATTTATTCAAATATTTTATTTTCGGCAGTTTATGTGACACAAAACTCAATATTTTAAGGGTTACCAACCAAATATACTTTGAGAACCGAAAATTCCAGTTACGGATCAGTTTTTTACTGCCTTGTGTTTTATCAAGTGCAACGCCCTGTAAGTTATTCTATAAATTTATAATTTATTATTTCACAGAAGAAACAGCAACACATAACATAAATAAAAGGGAAAATGAATTTTAATTCACCCTATTTAGTGTTTTCGGTAATTTATTAATTTTTTTTTCTGCCAACTGATGTGAATTTGACTCTCCAGACCAATTCAAGATTATGATGAAAACATAGAAAAACCTAATAATCAGGTCCGGTTTCAACATAGCGTGTATGTGCTCTCATCACAACCCAACGTTAGATCTGGTTACATCACAAAATTGTCAAGTTCGATCCGGCATACTACGTTTTTGAGGATTTTTGCCTTTAAGTTGGTCAAATTTAGTGGAATCGCACATTTAGTGCCTTTTCCATTTTAAGCACAACATATTGTTGTACCATATCAGTTGGAAGAATTAAATCATTGAAACATTGCCGAAAAAAGTAAATATAGTGCATAAAATTAATTTAACTCTTTATTTCATATCATGTACTGCTCTTTTTTTCTGCGAAATAATAAATTCAGAATATAAGTTACAGGGCGTTGCACTTAATAAAATCCGAAACATCTTTAGTTCAATTTTAAGCATTATTTTATAAAATGTTTTTCATCCATGGCGAAGGCGAGATTCGAACTCGCGACCCGGCCGGCCGGCTGATCAGTAGCACGACACTCTGACCCACGCGGCCAACCGCGGTCCCAATTTATAAAATGTTAATGAAACCAAATTGATAACCCCTGAAATTTTGAGTTTTGTGTCGCATGAACTGCTAAAAGTAAAAGGTATTTGAATAAATAAAAATATTTAACTTAAAAAAATAAGAAGAGACACAATCAATCCATTTTGATAATTAACTAGAACCATTCATTGGCTTTTTTGTACATAGTCAAACATTTCAATAGTCAGCTGATTTTGATAAAAAAGCAAAATAGTGAAAAATCGACGCCGGCCCTTGATTCTTGCAAAATTTCCACAAAACCGATTTAATAGTACCTGAGATATGTGATATTAAATATTTGGCGTTCAGATAAATCACCCTATATATCCGCAAACAACCAATTTAGACTTTTATTTATTTTCAGATATGAGGGTCTCGGCCTAAGCTACCAATCATTTCACTATGTTAATTTACAATACTTCCTCGCCAATTTGTGTGGGAAGAAAACAAAGTCAAATTATTTCACCAAGCGAAAGTCAACTTCTAGTAAAAACAGGCTGAAATCCTTAGAAAATATAAGACTTGCATCCAAAAAACTAAAATCCAACAGATAATAAATCGATTGATTGTTCTACTTACCTGTTCATAGATTTCGCTATAGCACCATAATCCGTCGGTAAGTTAGCCAAACTATGGAATACTTGACGTTTACGTATTATTGTGTATACGAGGTTGGAGTTACCATCGAATTGATACTGGATTATGTTGTTAAATATTTCCAGTAGGAAGAATACCAAATGATGGTTTGAAGCAGCGGAAAACAAAAACCATGGCGTACTAAATGCTTCTAATAAATGTAATAGTTTTGTACTTGCAACCATTGACAAGGTTTTCAGGTAAGGAGAAACTGAAAATAACACAAAATATGAAAGTCAGTAGATAAAACTATAAAATACGATGTCTACAATATCTTGCTAAAGATTTAAATTTTTATTGGCGAACTTTGCAAATATCAATTAACAACAATTGATTTTAATTACAGATATCAATCGATGATACTTGAATCTGAATGAATCTTGAATTACAAACCTTTCAGCTGTCATGGTAGCTTTTGTAAAGGTACAAAGTTATGATTTCATTTGTTAGCTAAATTAAGAGAGGGAAATGGACACTTAATTCCTAACTAAATTAGCGTGACCTTTATGTATGTACCTATGTAACAGAATCTTTTTACCTAATTTTCACCAATTTCATTGTTTACTTGCACAGTGGTCAAAGGCCGATGACAATACAATAATCTGGGAGGTGCAGTCTCCGGTGAAAAACAATAAAAAACAACACAAAAAATATATCTGAAAGAATCAAATTCTTTCACGAAAAGTCATCTTGGAAAAACACTACTTTGAAAATATTTAAAGAATTTGAGTTTTTAAATTTGCAAAAAATGGATTTGAAAATTTCGAAAATAATTTGAATATTTGGAAATTTTGTTACAAATTTGGAAATTTCGACATTTGAAAAAATTTGGAAGTAAATTTAGATTTATTTTCAATTATAATATACATGTACCAAAAATCGAAGCTATTGATTATATGAAGTCCATAATTTGAGTGATGAGACTTTTAAGAATGAATGACATCAATTTCGAGCAAAAGTGTGCTATCAGCTTTTGCTTCAGACTTGGGCGCAGTGCAATGGAAACTTTTGCTAAACTTCAGCAGGCCTACAGAGATAGTGTTTTGTCAAGAGTCCATGTTTTTAGGTGGTTTAAGCCATTTTCAGAACGGAAAGGGTCGATTGAAGATGAATCACAAAGCGGAAGGCCTTCATCTTGCAGAACCGATGTTAATATCGACAGAATCCGGGATCTTGTGCGTTCAGATCATCGGTTAAGTCAGAATGATCAGGAAAGATTTATATTTGACTCACACATCCGTTCGTCAGATCAAAAACAATTGAGTGTTGCTTTACGGTAATTGTCACATAGCAACGTCAATAACGTGTTTTTGGTCAGTAAAAACATTCCTGTGGCACCTCAGCCTCAATCGCCTGTCCTTGTGACATTTTCCTCTTCCCGAATTTGAAGACTCACCTCAAGGGAATCCATTTTAGAACAGTCGAAAACATCCAAACGGCTGTAACCGACTAGCTGAAGGCTATTCCAGTATCGGAGTTCCAGCACTGCTGTGAGGACTGGAGGAACCGTCTCCAGTGCTGTATGGCTGTATGGAAGTTATTTTGATGGTGGCAGTACAAAATTGTAATTATATTTGAATGAAAAAATGAATAAAACCAGTCTCACCACTTAATTTACAGACCTCGTAAGTACTTTTGTTGTCCTTTTGAGACTAGAAAAAACTAAAAAACGCTTTAATAGCACATCGAACTAAAAAGTAGAACATAATTTTCAAGTATAGGAGAGTTTGTGTTACTGCAAAAGAAGTCCTACAATCAAGTATGACTAATAAATTTAGTATTATTATAAGTACTAATAGTAAAAAAGCGTGGGGGTGCAATTAACTATATTTTCAGAATAACTTCAATTTTGTAAATTGCAACTAAAAAATTAATTCTAAGATTTAATATCAAGCAACCCACGTTTTTTTACTATATTGATTTTTTTTTGTGAATATCTTAATTTTTATATTGATTTCATTCCAAAATATATAATTAGTTATACTTGATTGTTGCACTTTCTATTGCAGTAACACAAAGTCTCCTATAGTGGAAAATTCTTTTATACTATTCAGTTCGATTTGCTATTAAAGAGTATTTTTTATTTTTTTTTTAATTACAATTTATTATCGAAATAAGGCAGCAGAAAGTGCCATCTAGTATTAGAGCCGACCACTGCCAAAGTGAAAATAGTAAGCTGTCTGTTGGAGTATCACAGTTCGCATTGTCAGCCGAGTCATCACTGTGGCCGCGAGATGCAGCCGATTCTAGTGCTATAGTAGATACGATTTACTCGCCATTGAACAAACTAGTAATATAGCTTCCGTTCGTCGGCATCTAACGGCCACAGTAGTGATCCGTGAATATTTATCTATCAAAAGTATATTTTTTCAAATGCAATGGTTTCTATCCACAAAGAGGCTTCGACCATAATGTATTGCTCAACAATTTGTATATCAAATCGCTTGAAGTACGCAAAATATTTCAGTTTACTTCACAATAAGCGTTATTGTACTAGATTTTACTGTGATTTCTGTCAATCCAATGTTTTGTCCAAGTCTCTGGTTAACAGGATGTGTGCACTATTCAATAGTATTAGTAACTGCGACATATTTAATGACACTAAATCTCGCGTCATCGAGATTTACCCTAATGAAGTTGTAAGCTAGTATATTATTGTTGATTATTTGCTTATAAGTTGTTATTAATATCTGTGCTTTATTGATATTTCCTGCAATTGGCTGTATCTGCCTTTTGGAAATAAACTTATTAATATCATTATCAACCTTATACTTTGAATAAAGTAGAACTGATAGCTTTCGTTGTCCACCAAGCCCAAGCCTGCTCAATGCTGAGTAGTTGCCAAATAGGACGAAACAACTGCCCATGGCTGGTTGCCTGTAGTCAGACGAACAAAAGCTATATTACTACATACTTTTATCTTGTATATTTCCTTACCATTGACTAGAATAGTTAACAAACAATCAAATAGCGGTTGTAAGCGTTGGTGCCCAGTCGTTATTATTTTGTGGAAAACTACAATTAACAGATCCGCATGTGTTCCCGTAAAAACAGGAATATCCATTGGAATCGTCGCGGTATATGGTTTATTCAATCTCACACCAAAGTTCCTCTCGCCAGAAAGTAACAATAGTATAAAAACGCCTATGTGCATCAATCCAACTCTAGCTACAAGATAAAATGCTGCATTATGAGTTCCTGTTTTAATATAGAATATACTTACACTGGTCAGCCCTAGAATCATTCAAGTGGTATAATATTGGAACTAATATATCTAAAAGCTCACTACTCTTCAGGACGTAGTATAGGAATTTCTGAAATGATATATTTAGTCCACAGCAAACATATGAGAGAAAAGGGTGTACACCAGTGGGTTGAATGAATCAAATCAATGATTTATTTCAAGTGATTTTTTTATAAAAACGGTATTTAAATCAAACTTGACTTTTTTCATGAAAGTTCATAGATTCCTTAGAGTAATGGTAAAATCATCTACATAAAAAAATACTTATTCAAATTCAAATTTATTGGTGTAAACTATGTTATTATAGCAAAATAGTAATGAGTAAAAAAGTGCATCAACAATTATTTATTATAATTGTTGAATATCAACACCAAAATTTCACTGACATAATTATGTTCTTGCGCCATCAAATGTTAATTTCTGTGATGTTTTATATAATAAGTGTATAGACCAAAACGATGTAAAAAGAGTACAAAAGGTACAAAACTCGTGCTTACGGCTCACTCATAGAATTCGACGTAGAGAACCTATTTCACATAATAGAAACAAACTGGTTGAATATGAAAGATAGACGAGAACTGTAGGACATATGCTTTTATCATATGTTGTAACCATGAAAACACCTCCAAACTTATATAATAACACAATGTTAACATGAGGTCAAAAACTACAATCACACCTCCAGCAAGCACATCATACTGCTCTATTTGAAAAATCGTTTTCCTATAATATTTCCAGAAGTTGCTGTACCCTCAATATTTGAAATCCAAAACACTAGATACTTTTTAAATATTACGCCACATTCCTGAGATCTCGCTACTACAATGGAATGAGTTTAATTCTAGAAACCATATAATTTTTTGTCCCTGCTTTGTATGCTTTAATAGGTATGCACCTGTAATTATTTGATTGCATATGTTTTTTTTCTTCTTTACTCTTTCCTCTTCGTCAAGCCTTTTTCTTTGGATTGTCATTCTTTCCTACCTTCTGATGAGGTACGAGAGAAAAGCGTTCAATACGTATGTTAGAAAGAGTGCGCCGATGGCAACGCGGCAAGCCGCAGCTGCGTCCGTGGCCTCGTCACTCAGGATGCTAGGCAACTTGGTGCTTCTATCTCTTTCTAACATACATACTGCATACTTCCCGCGCTCCTCGTACACATTACGATGTCAGTCGTATATGGATTTCTCTATATGTATTAGCTGAAACATTGTTTTGAAATTCTTATTTTTGATGATGCCGGTATTTCAATCGTGTGCCTCTTTTTAAATTATATTAGATATGTTAGTTTAGTGCGTTTTTGGGTTAAGTGGAAGATCAGCCATTCTTCTAAGAATGAAAGTTGAACTTCGCCTTTTCGGGTATCACACCAAATGTAGGAAAATTATTTTGATAGATACAGAGGAAGCCACAGCTGTGAACAACTGGCAGAAGGTAGGCGTTAGTTGACAATGCCCATCTATGCTGCTCAACTGTGATTTCCATCATTGCAATTGTTCTACATTGTGTATTGCTGCCTCTGCACACTTCACTTGTTTGAATGGCTCGGCCTTAAATTTCATTATTACGTGGTTTTATTCAACATTCCACATGACATCTTTTTTCGTTCAGCTGCGAACGCATTGCATCGAGCGCCAGCTGTTGCTAATGCAAAAAATAATACTTTTATTAGGGGGGTGTCTGTTAATAGTCAAAATCCACCGTTTACAGTAAATATCAAGTCAAAATAATAAATTTAACAATAATCATAACAAAAATCATGATTTTTATCAACCCTGGTGTACACATTGCAACTTATTACAATCAGTTGTATATTCAAGTAATTGTGCATCGAGTATAAGATTATAATACTATAACTCACCTTATTATAATCACACACCTTCCAGAAAAATACCAATAATTCTTGGTGGAAGTGAACTTTTTTAGTTGAATTTGGTAAATACGTTTGGACTAGAGGATTGTTCAAAAGACGAACGATACCACTTAGTATAAAATGAAAATCCTCATCTCTATGGATTCGAGACAAATAGTTGATAAACAGATTATCTGGTGTTTCTGATGCCTGAAATAAATTCAAGTAATCATAAATAGTTATCATCTGATTAATCTAACATTGGTCATGATATGTGAGAAAAAGATCGACAAAGCTCAAGTCTAAACTAAGAACTAAGCCTACACTCACATTTTGTTCTGATTCTGCTCTTGGGGACATAGTTGTGTCATGGTCCAAAGTGACTATCATTATTTGTAGTGCTGTTTCTACTAGAGGTTCTGATAAGTCAGTGAATAACAAATGATTATAAGGAACGCCCAAACCAACAGGATCATAAGCACAAACTGTATTCAATATTGAGGTGAAAAGTGGTAAGGCATGCCTGTTATCTGCTGATGTTAGATGCCTGAAAATAAATGTGGTTATTTAAAACAAAATAACTAAACAACAAAGGAGATATTGAAAAAATCAATTACAGCTTGCATCAATAAAAACAAGTCTACCTAATTTTGAAAATGGTATTGTGAATTATTCACTAATGGTAATTCGCACTGAGACAGAGACCCGGTCTTTTCACGATTTTCGTTTTTCGCGGGTCACAGAAAACTACTGGAATTACTTCCATATATTCATCTCCTTAACACATTCGGCCTCTATGGGAGAAGGTCTGTTTGTGCTCACATTCATAGGTCTACGTACGCATTTATGCTTGTCACTGTATGACAACTTGCTTGTCATAAGGGTGCGATTTGAGTTTACCTTTTGTTGATATTTGATATAAAACATAGCACTGCATAAAGATACAACAAATTTATTTGTGTGTATTTTCAAAGAGGGAATGAAAATGGTAGTTCACCATCAAGAATGTGTGCAAAAACGTCTAGCAGCTGCATTAAGGACCAGGTTTGGCAATGTGCAATTTGCCTTAGAGAAGTTAAGCTCCGCACATTGTGGTTAATTAATCCTGTTTACTAATTTTGTATGAAATTATGTAACCGCTAAAAACCGTAAAAAGAAATAGAGCGTAGAAAATCTGTCTGCAGTATGAATTATGCAAATTTAAACGAATTCTTTAGTCTAGATCTCTAGAATAAATGTATGAAAGGAGAGAACACTAGCCACTACGCTTGTGCTTCAGTCTCAGCAGACTGCTACCTTTATAATGAAATTTAAAAAAATACTTCTTTGAAACATATGATAAGACTTACAGGTTGCCCTAATCTTGAACAGCATTTTTTATAAAATTTCATATGATGCTGCCATGAATCAATCATAATTACTTCTATATTAGTTAATTGTGTATAACAAATATAAACCTACAATATCCATCTATTTGGGTTTTCTGAAATGTCTGAAGGTGGGTGGTACATGGTTTCACTGAAACATGTAAGCAGAAGCTTAAGCAACTCGGTCCTGTTAGATTCATAAATAGGATTTCTTGATGGTGAATGTGCAAAACCAACACCTGATTCCCAAATGTATTCACAACTATCTATAGCTGATAACTCTTCTGCCTTATCCTGAAAGTACAAGAGGATATGTTAAATATAGACAGCGATGTACAGGGAAAACCAACTTTGTCTGACATCTGTACTAGAGAGAAGCGCGAGAAGTATGTATCAACACGTGTTAGAAAGAGATAGAAGCCACATTGCCTAGCAACGGTGACGCAGAAGGCCGTGCAATCTGCCGCGTTGGCAATATGTTGCACCAGACAATGTTGGCAGAGGCTGCTACAATAGGTTAGGTTACTGTCCAACCCAAGGAGGTCTTTTCGAACATTTCATTTAATATTTTGTTTTCATTTTGATTCGAATTATTTATTTCAGTTTTGATGTGAGTTTTTATTTATTTTAGAATCAACTTTGAATTACACCGATGATGATAAAATCAATACATCTTGAGTTACCACAGCGCTGTCGCAAAATGTAACAAATAACTTTACGCAATACAAATTATTACTGCCCATCGGTCAACTATGATCATGGAGGTGGAAACCTTGCACTGGAATGTACCAGATGCAGTGTTATCGAACGAACCAATGAAGCAATGTTGCAGAATTTGTGGCAATCCTGACCTTTCATTCCGACCTAAAATGGAGCGCCATTAGGACCGATCGGGAATCAATCCTAAACAGATTCGACACAATTCAGAAATGTGTACGCTCAAAATAAAACCATTATTTGGGCGTAAGGAATAAATTAACGCATATTATCAATATGCATCTTAATTTAAGGAACTGGTGTAAGATATTGGCAACGCAGCAAATTACCACGTCACCGTTGCTAGGTACCGCGGTGATTGGCTTCGCTATCAAGGCGGCTTCTATTTCTTTCTAACATATGCGTCTATACACACTTCTCTCTCGACCACAATTGAATTAAAGCCGTCAGACAAATTTGGTTCTCAATGTATAAGGTATCTGAAATACAAAATCCGTTTAATAAAAGTATTTAAGACACCAGATACAAAATACTTTCTGGAATGGTACAAAATACATATCTTTGAAATACTTTTTAAAGATAAAATACTTTTGTGAGAAAACATTTTATCGAGTTTATTTTATTATGGGTTGATCGCCCAAATGTGACAAAATATCATACTTTTAAGAATTTAATTGACAACTAGAACCAGTTCTTCAAACACTTTCATCATACATTTTCCTTTGATGAGGCCTTGTTATGATACCCTCAAAAGAAAAAGTCACTCCACAGGAGCAGATCTCAGCAAACAGGTGTTATATTAGGAAAATATGTTCTTTAGTGTAGAATAAGCATTTAAGCTCTTAACGCTTGTTATTTATGCGTTGATCGCGTAAATGTGACAACATAATTTTATGGTTTTGAGTCAAGTAGAAAAGGCACTTCACAAATATTTTTATGCCCAAACAGGAAAAGTTGTTCCACAGCATTAGAGCTCTTAATGCTGATATCATTATTATTTAGGTATTGCAGTGTTTCCAAGTCAGCACTGATGCCAGTAGATGCTGTTTTCCCCACATGTAATTGAGGAATCACAGTCCTCTAACATCATGTGATAAGATTCGTTTTTGACTTCTTTTTTATATCACTTCCAATATTGTCTAAAGCGTCCAATTTTTGCTCAACAGATCGATTAATTTTTGTTTCAGTCAGGATCAGTACTCTTACATGGTCTTGGCTCCAGACTAAAGTTTCAAGAGTGAGTTATGAGAAGTATTTTGGCAAACATATTATTTACCAACTACTAAGGGTCATATAGCCGGTCGTTCCTACAATTGTAGGATGTCTTTGTGGCTTCCTTGATTTTCATAGTTTTTTACTGTACCATGTCAGTGCTCTATTTTGTTATGTTACAAATATCTTTTTGCATCAAATTGTTAATGCTTTTCATTTATATCATCTGTCGAGCTTCTCAAAGTTATGGAAAGATTGGGATTTAGGGGAGCGTCACAAATCCTTTTAAAAAATTACCTTTCAAGTCGGGTACAGACTGTCAAAATCACTAACACTTACAGTAAAAAAATGTACATCAAGTGTGGTGTGCCTCAAGGAACAGTACTAGGCCCACTATTATTTAGCCTCTACTTAAATGACTTATTCAAAATTAACAGTTCTGGAAAGATTATATGTTTTGCAGATGACACCCTCGTATTATATAAAGCTGATGACTGGAGCACACTGAAGCAAATAGCTGAACAGGATTTTATAAGGATCATTGACTGGTTTGATACTAAAATTTTAACAGTTAACTTCAAAAAAACAAAATTTATTGCATTTACATCCTATTCAAAATTTTTACCTACCTTCGAACAAATTTCCGTTAATTATCATGGCCAAAAGACCAAAATCGATAGAGTTAACACTTTGAAATATCTTGGAATATTTATAGACTCACATCTAAGGTGGGATAACCATATTAAATATGTTATCAAAAAAATTAGAAATGTTGCCTATAAACTCAAAATGTTTGCTAACATTCTTACAGAAAGTTATCTGCGAATCCTATACCATGCCTTAGTTGAAACCCATATAATATACAGCATCACAGCCTGGGGTGCCGCCTGCAAGACATATATTTCTGACCTGAATATAGCACAAAAAACTGTTTTGAAAGCCATTTTCCATAAGCCAAGATTATATCCAACGAACAACTTATATCAAGAAACGGGCATACTTGATACAAGACAACTTTATGTCTTACATGCCACCACCTTATACCATAAGTATTGTAATAAAAAGAAAAAATCCTATAAACACGAGCATAACACACGATTCCGAATAGGCTCATCTAATATCCAAAGACCACACAAAACATTATTCAAAAAATCATTTAAATTCTTAGCAGCTAAATTATATAATGTAGTACCAAACGAAATAAAGATACTTAATTTTGGAAAAAAATTTAGAAGAAAATTGAAAGACTGGGTTAGTAATGTGCAACGAATGACTATACATAATTATATAGAAAACTAAAACTACAAAATTCCAATTACATTAATACCTTTTAGATTTAACAATAATTGTTATACACATATATGATTGATTGTTAGTTATTAAGATATAAACCACACACAGGCGATGCCTTCTGTGGTTTTTTCATATTTATTTGCCCATTTTTTGTATTTTGGCGAATAAATATTATTATTATTATTATCTGTTTATCAGCCTGAAATTCCGTACAATTCAAAAAGAAACATAGCCTCACAATAGGAGAACACTCACGCCGACATGGAACAGTAGAAATCTAGAAATACCCCAGCCTTTTTGAAGGAGAGAAGACTATGGAAATCAATTGTAGGGTGCTGTGTCAAAATATATCTGTCCTTTAATAAAGTATTATTTAAAAGTATCTTAGTGGTTAAGCTTTATTCTGTAGACATTCATAGACCAAACTGCCTAATAAAATAGTTTAGTACCAAAAGTTTCATCAAAACACTTTATCCATCACATGTATTATAATCTAGTTTCATTTTTATTAAAGATAACTACTGCAGAAAATTAAAGACAAACAAAAGTACTTACAGGTCCACTTTTTCTACTTGCAGCTACTGTAAAATCAGGGCAGAAGAGGAGATCCTACAAAGATTTATCTACATAAATTACAGATGAAGTTCTATTACAACATATGTTTTAAAAATATAAAATATACATAAAAATATCTACAGGAACAATACATACACAAATGGCATTTAATAAGGAATGAGCTAAGGGTACAGAATCGTCTTCATCTTCTCCTTGACTAGGCAAAGATGCCCAGAAGAAACTTTTCCATTCAGGATCCTCAAAAATGTATGGTAGGATTCTTGTTAATAGTCTAGCACAATTCAAAACTGGAAAAAAATATGTTATATATATATATATATACAGGGTGTCCGCAAAGTTGGGGTTTTCCTTTTCAGAAACAACTACTCTTGAAATAGCAAATTTAATGTGTAGTGAAACGCGGGCGACCAAGTAAAAAAAAAATAAAGGAAAAAGTACTCACTCTCCAGTTGACGAGAAGGGCTAAGTACGTCTCTGCCTGAAATCGAAAGTTATTCACCCCACTATGCGTGAACGCAGATTCGTCTGTCACCAATATGCACTTCAAAAAGTCCGGATTATTGTCATGTTGATGCAACAACCACTCACAAAACCGCACTCTTGCTGGAAAATCGTCAGGTTGAAGGGCTTGTACACGTTGGACGTTTGCCACACTTTAGTTTTTGATACTTGCACTTCTCTAGCCACGTCTCTAGTGCTTGTTGAGGGATTCTCGTCTACGCGATTCAGTACTTAGTTCTTCCTCAACTTGCACCATTCGTGGTTGTCTAGGCCTTCCACTGTGCCCACCTCGAAATTCCTCCAAATGGCCCGTATCCCTGACTCTCTGGACCAGGTACACAAATCTGCGGGGCCTTGGATGATGTCGTCTAGGGAAACGATCTGCATACACTAGCGACGATTCTTTAGCATTTTGAAGACATTCGCCATAAATTAACAACATATCAACGAGTTCATTATTGGTGTATGAGTGTGCCATTATTATTTTTTTTTTTTAAACGCAATCGATTATACGGGTTCGTTACCTCTATACGCGTGACCCTTTACCGTCGGTTGAAGGTTGCATACTGACCTGACACAGTGACCCCGACCCCCGACCCAGTTCTGTCATCGGGTTCAGCTAGTAGCCGGTACCAGTTGGGGATGTCGCGAGTCGCGGCTACAGGACGGTATTCAGATATTTTTGATGTTGCAGAGCCCTTTATCTCGGTTCCCTTAGGGCATTGGTGTATATGCTACTAAGAAAAATTGCTTATGTTTTCAAGATCTACACGTCGTGTAAAGGAAAACCCCAACTTTGCGGACACCCTGTATATTTGTAGAGACAAACTGTATTCACCTGTCTGTTGTTCTTGTTGGGTCCTACAGCTGTTATCCACAGCCTTAACTAATTTTTCAACCGTTTTGTAACATAAGGTAGCCAAATTTGTGGGAGCATCCTCACGTAATTGGCGAATTTCTGACGCTGGTACTAGCGTGAAAACGTCCTGTATATTTGTTACGTTTTCCGACCAAAATTGCTCCCAGAAACTGTCATCATTTGCATCTATGGGCTAAAAGGCAAATATGTTTACAAAAAGCACAAGAGAGAACTAAAATAGGTACCTCAGATTTGGATGTTAGTTGCACGACAGCTTTTCTAAAATTTAATTTCGTGTCTACATTTCCCATATTTATTCAGCAGTTAGGTATTTGAGTTTTGGAAAATTTTCTTTTTGACTGAATTTATCAAAAATTATTGCTATTCAATGCAAACATCCTATTCATTTGTGACGTGACGTCATCTAGTCAACAACGTCAACGTCATTGGGGTATCGAATAATTGAATACGAGTACTAGCTAACTACGAATATTATTAATGCGTACCGTGAACTTCCATCTCTAGCCTGTGTAAAAGAGGGCTTACATTAATGAGGGTCCCACACGATGCTTCCAGCGTTGTGTACAACGCTGCTTACACTTACAACGTTCGACACCCCACAATTGGCAAGTGTCTCTCCTACACGATGAGACGAACTTTTTAGTCCCGGACGTTCAACGCATGGTAGCGCCAACGTCTATTTATTGCATCGGTGTAAAGTCGCGCTTGAACCTTTACTGTTACAACTGAAGGAAAAATTATACAAAATGAACGATGAAACAATTTTTTCGAGCGCCGAAAAATAATTTCAGATCTATCTTCAGCGACCAAATCTTAAGTCTGTCAGAAACCTCAGAAATGTCAAAAAACGAAGTTTGACCGTTTTTTTGTTTGATTTTCGACGATAACTCCGCCGTCACTATACCGATTTTAAAAAACTGCAGAGCTTTTTCGTCATTTTCATGGTAGTAACCAGCCATAATTCACCTGCGAAACGTACAAAAGTTAGTTACGGAACTTACATTATTATGAATATTTAAATCAAAATACTTCCCACAAACCACTACTTCATCACAATTACAGCAAACAAGTAATTAATGTATTATGACGCTACTGGTTCTAACCTAAAACCATTAAACACATGACATCTCGTGTGGGAGCGTAACGAACCATGCTTCCAACGTTGTAACGTCCTTTGACGCGGGTCAAATTTACCGACAAGAGCCCGAACGTGTCATGTGGCGAACGTTGGACAAATGTAATCCATCCGCGCTATCCCACACGATGTGGCGAATGGCCATGTGTCCAACGTGGTAAGGCATTCGCCACATCGTGTGGAACCGGTCTAATTTGCGTTGTAAGCAACGTTAAAGTGCATTTACACTGTCAATAAGAATTGCTCAATTGGGAGCAATAGTAATCCATTGTGCGTGAACAAAATAACAAGCAATTTACAGCAACCGGCAACAAGCATCAATTTGCCAAAAATGTTCTGCAACAACAATATTGAGCGATATCGAGCAATTTCAAGGAATTAGCCAATACATTCATACACGACCAATTTATGATAGTTGACAAACCATCCCTCGCTATGGAGAAGGTGTCTCTTGCAGCGGCGGCTTGTAGCGCTTTTATTATGTTGAGTCGAAAGCAACAAAAAGGATTCCATGCCACGTTCTTATTTGTATTTTTTTCATTAAAACAGAATACTTACCTATGATTGTGTTTCCGTTTCTAGTGTTGAAACAGCATCATCTGCGCCTTTTAAAACAATCAAACTTTTGAAAGCGAAACAATTGCTATATTGAAAAGCGCACTGCCCCGCTTTTTTGCTTTTTCTCTAATTTCTTTACTTCATTATTGAAGAATGTGCGTAAATTTTTAATTTTTTTACTGCTTCAACACGAGATATTTGGAACTGCAGGCCTATAGAAGTCCATTCATATTTTTTAAGCAAGCGATCTTTAAAATCAGGACTGGGGAAGAATTATAGTGCTATACATAATTTTTTTGGAATACATACTAAGATTATAAGAAACTCTATAGAAGTAATTTATCTTTTTCGATATTTTAGAAATAATGTATTCATAATGTTCGTGAAACAGTAGTTTACTATCCACATATATACCAAGATATTTAAATGACTTGACGACTTCAATTTTTGCATCATTCATCATGAGCCTAATTCTATTGCCACCTAAATGTTTCCCTATTGACATACATTTTGTTTTATTAGTGTTTAGGTTTATTGACATTTAACCAATTCATAATTTTTTCAATATCACTATTTAACAGTTCTAAAGCAGTGTCCAATTGATTATGTGCTATATATATAAGACACCAATAAAAACAACAGAAGTATGCATGTTAAAATTGTTGTTTTCATGTTATGCTGTGTTCTGATTTCCTAGAGTCAGAACGTCAATCATCTCTATTACCCGGCGGATGAATTGCCTGGGATATTTTGATTCTCCATGGCAAAACAACATTCCTTATCCTTATAACCTTCAAATTTCAATAATCTAATTTCTATTCAATGCGCATGTGTGGACTCACAGTCCTCGCTACGGACCAGGTACTGTTTTGACGGTCCAAAAACCGTTCGTTGAACTGTCGGAGATCTGTTGGAACAGTGTATCAAGCGTCCCATGAACCGTCATAGGTTTGTGTTGGAACACTTCAAGCGGACTGCGCACGTGCGTGACGGTACAATGTACGGTACGCAGCGTTGTTGGTACAAACCCATTGTTGTCAAAGGGTGTCAGTAATCAAATCCAAGCGAATAACCAAAATTTCTGTGTTATGTGCCGCGGTTATAATATGGTTCAAGATGACACATTGGTTGATGACGTCAGTTACTCGAATCGCTTGAACGCGTTGGTTTTAACCGCGGTTTTGTTGCAAGTTGTTTATTTTAGAAAAGCGCGTATATAATCTCTGATTATTTTTATTATCACTTAATAATCGGTGCTTTTTCGTCTACAACTGTATATGGAAAGTTTAAATAAGAAACCTTTCATAATATTCATGGGAGAAACGTTTTTTTCAGATTTTTTTTTAATGAGGGAACCATGGGCTTTGTAGCTATGATAACTTTCAATTCTCTAAATTTTTCCGCATGTCAAAGAAAACATTTATTGATTCAGCAGAAATGATGGAAAAAGAAATTAGCAAAACCGTACAGGTGGATATCATCTAGTAAGTTTATATGGCCATATTTTAATATTTTTGTGGTATATGGCTACACAGGATACTTTGTTAAGCTAGGAACTACATTTAAAGTGTCCCCAACAACCGTAATGAGTATAACTAATAAGGTGCTCCACTTTATGGTAAAACTGAAGTCAGCCTGTATCATTTTTCTCAAAAATGAAGCTGAATTACAATAACAATATCCAATACCCGGCAAAATTCTAACTTGTCACATTTCAAATAATAACCAGAAATATAAAACTACTCTTGAGTTGGGTAAATACCACAATTTTGCGGTGATAACTATGACATATAACAGCTGATTCGTGACGTCACGGATCTTATAACCAAACCGATAACTACACTCGCTTGAACGGATTGGTAAATACCAACCCAAAATGGTAAATACCATTTCCATTTGGTTATCCGCTTGAATTGGATTAGTGTCAGTAACGTTGTGGTAACGTCAACTTTAAAAATGCCGGGAATCTAACCTAACATTTTCAGAAAAAAATATAGAAAATTAAGTGAAATAAAGCATATTTATCAAAGCTTTACAGCATCCTTTCTTTGAGAATCTGTGCTTTTGTATCTGGAGATCTGTTTAACCAAATTGTACTGTATTTATGTGTTTCAGTGAATTGCTACTATCTGTTGTTTTTTCCCTGGCCCTAGTACGTTTTGAAGTCTAATCAAGAAGAATTCATCTGTACTGTATAATCGAATTAACAATGGATAGAAGTTTTCAAAGTAGTTTTTCTACAAAAAGCCCTTATTCGCCGAGATCACGACAGAGCATCTCTTCCTCGTCTAAAAGAATTCTTCCTTCGTCGTTTAGGAAGTCCTCGTGAGTACCCACCAATACAAAAAATGTAAACCGTTTAGTCTATAATTTAGAAGCTGTTAAAAAGTCAACTTTACTTCCTCTATTTGTAGTTTGTATATTATAGAGAATAATAATTTTATGTATAAATGTATTATGTATGCAGGCGGCTGAAGTCCTCTCAATCAGTTCAGATCATTTTGAGGTCTGCACAGAACTATGTGGAAAGATTTGGCCAATCATTGCCAGTGTTGATCACTGAAGCACTTACTTTTGCTGATCGTAAGTATATATATTAAAGCTTAACTAGTATCAGTTTAATTCATATCGATACAGTTATATTCAGCAACAATTGTTGAAATGCATTTTTATATCAAGAGACATATGTAGTCATATATTTGATAGTTTGTTTTTATATGAATTATTCAGGGTATCATTATTCAAAATTACTTGAGTATGCATTCTCTTTATCAAAATGACCATGACTTCCAGCATAAGCTTTGTTCATTGATTTTTGTCTTTGATTTTTGAATCTTAGGAAACCAGCTTGTGTCTGCGAGAATAAGTGAATCTGGTTATGTATGGATAGTGTGTGGACGTCGACTTTTGATTTGGCAGTATAAGCAAGTGGCAACTCAGAGCAGTACCCCACAGACACCACAAAGGAAGCATGCCAGCCTCAATCAATGCTATGAGCTGCAGCTACCTCAAAGTGACCTTGCCCATAAAGCTGAGTTGGTGTCTGTTTTCCAAACAAATATACACAGTACTCCTTCCTGTATAGCCGTTTCACCAGAGGGTAATATATCACTTTGCAATGCTATCACAGCATATCTAACACATAGTAATGCAAAACACAGGTGTTACTGGTACTATCTATTCTGGATTAGTTTGTTCATCATAAACTGTAAACAGTGTGTGAAAATGGGTGATGCTATACCCTATTTTATGAGTATCCATCACGCTTTGACGTCTACTGAGATGATCAGCTGATCAGCAAGTGACATGTGTTGGTCTGCAACATTGGCAATAATGAATCGGGTACAAATGTAGTAAAATTTGTTTGTGGTGTTTGGTTTTTCGTAAGCAAATGAACTTTTCTAAATAAAAAGCTGTTAGCAAGTACAAAATGAATCTGTAGCGTACAAAAAACCAAAGCAAAATAATGCTCTGTCTACCTGGCATTGACGGATCTGTCAGAATTATGTGTCTTGTGCCGATTTGAGGAATTTTGAGATATTATTCTACCATGATGGGTACTCATGAAATAGGGTATAACTCTTATGACATAACCTTTCCATCTGGTGTGCCACAGGGCTCTCATCTGGGTCTAATCCTCTTATTATTATTTATTAATGATGTAAGTGTACTTAAAAGGTGTTCATGTCTTTTATATGCTTACAGTTTAAAAATAGAAAACTAAAAGAATAGACATACACAAACTAGTATATCAGCAGCAAAGGGCTGTCAGCCAGAAATTGCAGCTGCCTAAGACAATAAGATGTTAAATCAAGTTTATTGCAAACATGGTCATGTGGCTTCCATTTTAGGCATTAGTTAATTTGTTTTCTCAAAAATGTTGTAGCATAGACATGTTCTATTGATCCCCCCAGGCTGCTATCAAAGCTATGATTTGTGTGGCCAAACTTGATAAATTGTGTTTCAGTGGTAAGTAGGAGTCCATTATCTAAAAACCATTGCTGCCCACTGTGCCACTCTTCAGTAGCTTTTTGCGGCAGAGACATTATATTAGTTGTGTTGATGACAATCAGTGTATCATTTATGTACATGACAAGTTTTGACATACTGAAGTCATTTACAAAGATGATTGACAGCAATGGACCCACTACAGACCCCTGAGGTACTACCACTTCAGTTACACTTCTATTCAACCAACAGTCATTTATCTGAACATATTGCTGCCTACCTAACATATTGTGCATGAGTTATATACGGGTATATAAATGTTTTTTATTGTACCGTGGTAGGAGTGGTGCGTTACTGGTCAGCAGTGGCGCATGAAACATCGTACGTAGAGCAGAGCGTGGAGTTACAGGGGCAAGAATGCGACAGCCTGACAGATGCGAGCGCAGATATAGGGTGCGTTCTGGCTACCACCACCTGCACTGTGGCCATTATCAGACCATACCAGGACAGTGGTGGTGCGTGCAGGCCCAAGTTGCATTGCAGGCCACTTACAAAGCCTGCTGGTTGGCTCGGAGGTAAGCTGTCCTCAAATGCATGAAGTAACACTTAACATCAAGTACTTAATGTTCGATTTTATTATACACCTGCATTATCTACCCCCTCACCAAAACAACTACACGATAAGTTTTGAGGTATTACATCAGTATTTCCTAGCTCTGAACGACGGACGTTTACAGGTATCGGAAAACGTATGTCGTCGTTGATCTTCGGACCATTATCAGGTGGCGAGCATGCTGCTGAAACACGATTGGTTCGCGTGTTGACAGCGCCCTCTATAGATGGTGCGTACACTGTATATGTGTTGGCAGGTCATTCAATACAAAAATGGCAGATAAAACACAGGGAACAGGACCAACTCGCTTGGGCCTGCGATGTAGCACGATCCGTTAGGGATAGGTAATTATTTTTTTTCAATTTTTGAATTCTTAACATTAGGTTTAAACTGTCGATTTAATTTGATTTCACTCACTATATCTTTTCATATACTTTTTGGCTCAATCAGAATGCGGAATCTGTTGTACGATCCGATGATTCCAACTTAATTTTCACCAATTTCAATAAGTTCGACTAACTTGAAAATTTGCACAGGGGCTAAGGGTCGATGACAATACAATAATCTTGTGAAAAATCGAATTTGACAATTGTTTTAAAATTTGGAAATTCGTAAAAAACTTGGATTCCAAAATTTTGGAATATTATGAAGTTTGAAAAGTAATTTTAAAATTTGGAGATTTTGAAAAATCTTTAGAAACATCGAAACTTAAAAAAAATTGGAGGTAAATTTAATATCAAATATAAAACCAGAAAAAAAAAATTTGAATTTGGAAATTCGTGAAAAATTTGGTGTTTTTGAAAAATTTTTAGAAACGTCGAAAAAAAATTGGAGGTAAATTTTATATGAAATATAAAACCAGAAAACGATTCTGTTGATTATAAATACGTTTGTTGTAATTTTGAGACGTTAAATTAAGAAAATAAACTAGTTTAAAAAAAGTAAAGAAAAAACACTGTACCAACAAATCGGGCTAAAAACTAGAAAATAATTTTCGACTATATGAGAGTTTGTGTTACTGCCATAGAAAGTCCAACAATCAAGTATGGATAATTGATTTGGAAAAACATTTAATATCAAGCACCCCACTCTTTTTATTATAATTGAATTTTTTGCTAATATCTTAATTTTGGATATTAGCAAAAAATTAAATCGTCATACTTGATTGTTGGATCTCCTATTTCAGTAACACAAACTTTCCTACACTTGGAAAATTTTGTTATACTTTTTAGTTCAATTTGCTATTAAAGCATGTTGTTTAGTTTTGCCAAACTAAATTTATTTATTTTCATTACTTATTTTCGTAATTGTGATAATTTGTTCAACTACAAATATTTCTTATAGTACAACTTATAAAAATTCTTGTTTCCAACAATAAACAGATTCAGGGCTGCAGTATGGCCAGGCTGCGGTGGTGACCAAGCTGAGATAGATACTTGGTTACTCGACATAAGACCGGATAAAGATGGAATTATCGTACTAGCTGGTGCTGTTAACATGCACGCATCACCTCAGGTAAACACATCTTAAACAGTTGTTTTTTCTTGGAGAATCCTTTCCGTCTGTTGTCATACATGTTATATTCTATAGTTTTTTGTTTTTCCTTGAAATAAACGTTGCTGGGTTTCTGATTTTTGCTTAAAAATTGTTTTAACAATTACTGCATTTAAAAACTAATTTACAGGTCTCGCATACTAGTTCCACTGATTATCTGGTAAGATAGTGGAGTTGATTGAAGATTTTGCTTGCACTTGCATGATTTTACAGCATTTCTTGAATGACCTTGCGTACACATTAATAAATAGTAATGTGTCAAAACTTGCCAGAAATCTTATTCATAAAAAATAGTTTGTTTTTAGGTAAAGGATAATCGATGCATTGGATCATCTTTGTTGTGTAACTGTACTCACTACTTCGACATTTTTTGTTGAGTTGCAGTATTAAAACAAGTCACTGTTATACCTTGACATTTTTGTGAATTTTAGGTCCATTATGCGCTCATATCCTTTGCGACTGAAGAAAACGCAGATATAAGAGACTTCTTTCTTCTAAAAATTACGGGCCTGTACAGAGAGGAACATTCCAGTGAATCCTTGTCATACAGGTTTCTGTTGTCGGGCAACACAGCTTACCTCTATAACCTCAAATCTGTAATAGTGATCAGGCCCCAAGAAGATCCCGACACTGTCGAGTTCAATGCATCCCAGGACTATTTATTAGGTGAGAATAACAAAAACCGGAATTGTCCACTATCTGCTTATTGTGTAAATTCTATAACTTGTTTTTACTACATAAAATTCACTTTCTGCTTTAGATGTTTTCATCCATTTCTTGGATTACCTTGTGTAATCGGAGTACATAACTGGGTCAGATTCTTTTGAATATGTCATCTCATAGTTTTGTTTCGTAGGAGGTTCCATCTGCGGCGGTACTCCGGTATTCTTCTCGAAGCTGCATGGATTAGTGTTGATCTGCAGCAACTCCTCTGCTATCGGAGACCAGACAACCGACTTTCTGAACCAAAGTGGAGTGATGACACCTGTAGAAAGTTCTTTCGTGAACGAAACCCTGTCCACTGCTGCCAATAACCTCTCCATCTATAACCTCAATCCCGAGGAGGTTTACAATGCATATAAGGACACCGTCGGACAGCTCAAGGCCGCCTTCATATTCCACATCAAGGGACAGAAGGTAATAACAAATCTCGTCCATCGGTTGACTCAAGTTTCCACACATATTCTATCTCATTTCGGTAACCGAAATCGCTATCGTTGCGTTCCTCTCAACCTAATGACAGCCGGATTTTGCTCCTTTTGCATATTTTATTCTGTAGCTTTTCATGCAAGTATAAACATACATGCATTAGCAAATTTTGGTGCCTAGTTCAAGTGAGTGAGTTGCAACAGTATATAGGTGGCCTGTAAATCCGCTCCTTCGCTCTTTGTGTAACGAGAATATGGAACGATCTACCAAGTCCGATCCAACTTTTTTTCTAGCATTCTAAGTGAGTATCACCAAAATTTCCTTAGCCATTCTCACCGAAAGCAACTGGCGAGCGCAACCCAGCACGGTACATGCATTCAAATACAAGCAACGGCAACTCCACCAGTTGCTCAGTAGTTGCTGGCACTGCTATCGCTAGTTGATTTGGGGTTCCCCACTGGTTCTTTTCTTATTCTCAAAATATTATTAATCATCCGATAGAAATACTTCTTCATCGCGTTTTTATGTGATCTTTGAAGTGATTCAGTTGGAGAAACGCTGTTGAAAACCTTCCAGGAGACCGACAGTGTACGAGTGATTATTAGACTCAAGAAATTGGATGGATTGAATAATTCTTTACTGGTAGATCTCAATATGTTGCTGTCCAATATCATATGAATCAAATAAGTAAGACATAACCAGTAATCAAAACATCTCGTCAGATGTTGAAGATACGTTTTAAATCAATATCAGCTTAGTAGTTTTGCATTATGCCCAGCTTGTACTAGACTTGCACATGCAATTAGCTTTTCGGAAAGCTCAACTACATACATCTATGGACGTGTTTATTGCCCAGAACAAAATAGTGAGAAATATAGCCAAGGTTACGTCAACTCACTCGTGTAGAGATTTGTTTTTTAGATTTAAAATTTTATCAGTGCCATCGTTATTCATTTATTAAACGTGTACAGTAGCGGACAAAGGTTTGCTAACAAATATTAACATTATTTTGAACTATTTCATATACCTAAATTATAATTGTGAAGGAAAAGATAATATAAATATTGAAGTCTACCTTTGGCTCCCGTACTAATACAAGGTTTTTCTTATCTATCAAAATTCAAATTCTCTGAAAATCAAAACACGCGTTTTTTTAAATGCCACAGTTTTGCAACGACAACAGCATGGAAATATTTCAGTTTCCATTTATTCGTTCTACTCTGATATTGCGTGCGGTAAATATTAACATCAGTGAGAACGGCAAAAGTAAAAGAATTTTCAAGAGATTTAAGAGACAAAGTAATTGAATTATTTAGAAGTGGTATCAGAAATGTTGACATTTCTCAAAGATTAAAAATGAATAAAGGGACGATTTCGATAATTATTAGTAAATATCAAGAATACGGAAGACCGAAAAAATCCGATTATGTTTTGGATCGCTACTTTAAACGTTTGTCCCAAGAAGATCTTCGAATGCCAGCCACACAGATTTTCAAAAGAATCGTAGAAGAGAGATCAAACATAATATATTTATATTTCGCATTCTCACTAGTAAGTAGATACTTAATGCATTCTTCCACAACCTCAACACGAGGCTATCAGTTGCTTTCAGTGAGTACGCAACTGAAGTCAGAATCGTTCTAAAGTAGTTGCTTTTGGTGAGAACTGTTCAATAACCTTTATTTTCATGTTCTTCCTAGAGAGAATACCAAGAAATCGTTTCTGAACTGTTTCCACCAGACATGCATGACGTACCGAACATTGATAGTACTTTGGATAAGATAACAATTGAGATGACCACCGACATACTGAACGACATTCCTGTCAGCGATCCTAGGTGGACCAAGGACTCGCCTTCTAATCCTGGCATTGGAAGCTCTTATTCAATGCAGGTACAGACATTCTCTCGAGAAATAACTTCGAAGATTCAGACTGTGCTTGCAGGGTATTGAGGTTAGGAAAAGTTTGAGTTTCAAGCTGACAATTCTCTGTTGACACTAAATCAATGACCGCTTGTATCGCCTTGCTAAAGTCGACTTTAAGTTAAGCTTGAATTGATAGTCCCCCATGTTGGTCTGGCTGAATCAAAGCCACGTACGATTCCTACTACGATGGCGAGATAACTCTATCGGCCCAAATGTTCAGGGGCCCTATGAATGCGATGCGACAGAATGTGTCCACCATGCGAGTATTGAGTATATCTCCTAAACAAAAACTATTCAAAGACAACTATTTATTGATTATTATACAAGGTGTTCATTTGATAACTTCTCACCACGGATTTATCGAAAATCACTGATTAAAAGAAAAAACGTCGAGACACGTCAAAAGATTTGTCAAGGGGACAACTTTTTAACCAAAAACCATTTCACCCCCTGCCTCCAGGGTCATCTCCTTAAAAATTTTAAATGACAAGGGGTATCGAGTAACAACTTGTTTGAAAGGTCTTTCGAAGTCCCTTATTTTGACGTTTGATTTTTTTAAATCGGTCGATTCGTTTCCAAGAGAATTAGAAAAATCTTTATTTATCTTAATTTGTTCAGATATAAAACAAAAACACGCGAAAATATCACTTTTTATTTCAATTAGTGTTCAAAATATTGCCCGTTATTGGCCAAACAATGATATAGGCGATGTTCAAATTCCTGACGGACATTTTCAAAAACATGTTGTGGGATATCATGGCAGCTTTCGATGATGCATTGACGAAGTTCATCCAAACTTTCAGGTTTTGGAGTAAACACAATAGATTTTAAATGGCCCCATAGAAAAAAGTCTGATGGCGTCAAATCATGAAATCTAGCAGGCCATTGTATACGCCCTCTTCGCCCTATCCATTTATCTGGAAACTTGTCGTCCAGCCATTACCGAACCGGAAGAACATAATGAGGAGGAGCGCCGTCTTGCTAGAAATAAATTTCAGCCTCATCAAGTATAGGGTTTCCATCCTCTTCAATTTGGTTTTCAATGGTTTCAGTGATAAGCGGATTGATGGTATTTTCCAACATATCCAAATAACTGTGTCTATTCAAATTTCTATTAATAAACAATGGCCCAATCACTTTGTTTCCTAAAACGCCTGTCCATACATTAATTTTTTAGGGGTACTGGGTGTGCCCTTCTACATCAATGAAGCAGATATTCTTTGCATGAATGGTATTATCATTAATTGCTGCAGTCCTTTGTTCACAAAATTGAACTCGCCTATCGAAATCATCTTCGGTTAACTCTTGCAATATTTTCATTTTGAATGGATGAAATTTATGGAGTTTAGTAACTGTGTGTACAGAGCCTAATGAAATACCAGTTGCAGCAAAAAATTTGCATAATGAAGAATTAGGATTTATTCCAAAATGACGAAAATTTCAACTTGAGCGGCTTGATCCAAAACTCTCCGATCACGTTTTTTATTTGCAACAGATCTAGTTTGAGTAAATTTAGTAACAAGGACCAAAACATACCTATGCGAATTTATCTTCCCCGGATGTCTGGCGTTAAACGTGAGTTTGGGCACCATAAATTAGAAATATTTCCACTCTTTCGGCTAGTGGCTAGTGTGTAAACCATTTTGGAACTAAATTAATTTTCACTATCCCAAAATTGTCACAAAGTAACTGACAGCAAATCAAATTATTTCTTTCCCTTGGCAACAAATAACTAAACAGGTATAACAATAAATATAGTTCGCCCACGATATCTGTGTTAATGAACAGAATGCGGAAAAAAATTGGGTTGTTATTGGTTGTTGTCACGTCTAATCTTCCGAATTGATGTTTATGTTCGTAGTTTCCGTTTTAAATCGTAAACGAATTTTGGATTTGGCAAACCCTAATGGGCCACTTTTGAACACTTATTGAAATAAAAAGTGATATTTTCGTGTGTTTTTGATTTCTATCTGAACCAATTAAGATAAAGAAGGATTTTTCTAATTTTCTCGAAAACGAATCGACTGATTTTAAAAAATCAGACGTCACAATAAAGGATTTCGAAAGACCTTCCAATCAAGCTATTACTCGATACCCCTTGTCATTTGAAATTTTTAACAGGATGACCCTGGGGGTAGTAATTAGTTGTTATCGATAAATTCGTGGTGGGAAGTTTTCAAATGAACACTCTGTAAATGGGATTTGGAGGTATATTTCTAAATTATTCACAATTATAACGGTTGTCCCAATTTTGACCCTTATAAAGTTGATTTTTTCAAATGGAATCCGCCACTTTTTATTGCATATTCGGATAGACCCTTTTAAAAGTAAGAGTTTAATGGAACATTACTTACGGGTTTTGATTAGTTGTTAAGCTATTGGGTATTTTATCTAAAAAAAACATGAGTTTGATAATATGCGAGTCTGCATAGCTGGAGCCTGATTCTAGATGGGTTTTGACCATTGAATTGATTTCGATGGCGCCTTGTGACGCTATATTTGATTCACTTTGATAACACTGCCATGATAATTTGAATATCAAATCGATATAATCAGATGTCAAAATTATCATAGTGAATCAAGTACATATATCGTCACAAGACGCCATCAAAATTAATTACAACGGCAGAAACCCATTTAGAATCATTCTATCTTAATAGTTGGAGTAGTGAATTTTGTGTCAAAAATATGTAATTACACTCAATTTTAACCTACTTCATTAATTTTTCAATTTTTTTGCATGATCAATACAGAGTCAAAATGCCGCATGTACTTTTTCGCAGACAATTAAATGGAACACTATATATTTTTGCACTATCGGATCCCCATGTTTCTGAACTTTTTTTAATATAAAGTTATTACCAGTTTGTTTAAGCGGTTTCTGCATGATAGCTATTTGTTTCAAAAAATTGGATCTCTGTATTCAATCGTTACATCATTCATCGAAACCAAAAAAAAGTTAAGGATTATTGAAAACATGTTTATAAAATCATGCTTTCATTAAGAAAAGAAATCATTCATTGTATTTAAGTTGTAATTCATTTGATATTATAAAATTAATTTTTGGGGTCGTTTCAACCCCTTAAATATGGGTAATTGTTGAAACCTTAGATTTGTCCTCAAGATTGGAATCTAATATTCAAAAGCAGGCGACAAAACAGTTTTTTTTTGTTACTTTTTGGAGCTACAGACATAATACCCTTGAAAAGATACTATAGGTACACTATTGCCAGTTGTAGCTTTATCTTAGTTTAGTTACGGTAGGTGGCATGCGGAATAGTACAGTGTTGATACAAAGGAGTTGGCAAAAGGGTCAAAGGTTGCCTAGCAGCCAGGCTTCGGCTCTCCACCACTACTACTTCTACTCATCTCGACTTTAACATATTCTAACGCCCTCGTATAACTGGTACCAGCGAGACACCCTCGTACGTCGACCATAAGATTCGACAGGTGTCCAGAAACATCGACGCTTGGGCAACCAGGGTTACGCGGCTGAATGTGAACGATTCCTGCCGCATTGAGGAGCTTCGGTCGACAACAGGAGCGTTCGAGAAGTATCGATAGCGCGGGAATATTCTGGTTATAAGTCCTAGCTAATTTGCTTTTAGGGGCTTACACGTGAGGTTACACGATTTAGCTTGGTATCAAATTGAATTGTCATTTTGATATTTCCTAACCTCAATACCCTGCGAATTCCACTTAAAGTGAATAGTGCATTCAGCTAAAATATATGATCACAAAATGTTGTAAACTGCAAAACAAATTTTGTAGGTCATGCTGCAACTAGAGGATAAACAAAAAGCATTCTGGTTCTTTGTGAGGTTTTTAAAAGATTCTGGACTTTGGAATCGACTTTCTGCTGTAGCTATAAGAGGCACAGTTATGGCAACCACTTCGATCATTGGTAAGTGTACTTCTTCATTGGCGAAATATAGAATAGGCATATAATGGACCGTTAAATTGCCGAGTTTTAGGACTATGTATTTTCTTATTCCGATTGGATCATTTCAGGCGAACTTGCAGAAAAAATAACAGCCGCTATAGTATTGAAAAGCCTCCCGAACAGTTTGATTCTTGAGAACGCAGTCGAAAAAGCCATTAAATACTTCGATTCTGAGCCGAAGAACGGACTCACGAATCAGGATGTATTTTATAGGGAGGTTGGAAAAATGCATAGAGGCATTCAAGAACTGGTAACTCTTACATATTAGTTTGTTATCAGATATGTTAATGATTGTTTTAGGCAAACTGTTGTGAAGAAACTGCACATTCCGATTTGAGTCCTGGTCAAGTTGCTCAAGTGGTGCACGACACTAATGAAATTATATTGGTAAGGTTTGCATTCTAAAATACTTGTTTTACTTTCTAAGATCACTTCTTTAGACTTACCACGAGATTACTGTAAATAATATCATTAAGATACTTAAGATGAGAGGGGACACATGCAGCTCCTTTACATTTCACTCTAAATATTTTTTTCAGACTGTTATGAATGAAGTGATCCAGTACCGGAACCAAAATGCTGACCATTTCGCACCCTCGGATATTGTGAAGTCGTTGAACAACCTGGAATACCAGCCGTGGACGTCAGCACCAGGAGAAGAAGGATTAGCTGATGCCCTTCTCTTACAGGTTATTTTCATACAAAGTATTAAAACAAAAGTTAATTCCTATTACAGTAGGTGAAACACGTTACTTGTCTTAATTTTTCGATTTTGGGATATAATGATATGTAATTTATCAACAATAATAACGGCATGTATTCGAGTATGTTTAGCAAACTTGAGAGAAAAATGATCGCTGGCGGGATTCGAACCCACATCTTCTCCATTCCCTGGAGTTGAGCCAACTAATTAATCCACACCACCAGCTGCTAACTGCTGACCAATTTTCAGAATCGACTTCTAGATGCAAATTCAATCCTACTCATGTCACTATTCCTTCGTTCTTTCAAGCTGCTTGATCCCCCTTCTGGCGGCAGTCAAGTGAAACAAACCGGATTGGTGAAGTATCTCCAATCGCTTTCTAGATGCACCACGCCGGCTAGCGGGCACATACCACTGTACCACCGCGCGGAGATAGTATACAGTATCGTTACGTCATAATTATTTTCAATAATAAACCATAGGTAGACATTCTCATTATATAAACTATCAATTTGACTTTCAATGTCCAATGTATAAAACTTCACTTAGTTGCTCTGCGACATGATACAGTGCTAGCGCATTCGAGATTCCTGTCGGTAGGGAGGAATTAATTAATTTTTAATTAATACAAGAAAAGATCCCAAATACTACAAAAAATATACATCACACTAAGTCTAAATGTAAAATTAATATTCATAAAAATAGTGCAAAACAGCGAAATGTTGTATCAAGTATTTATGAATATTTCATTATTTCTTTAAAGATTTCGAAGCTGTGACGCAAGAGGTCGATTTCAATAAACTTGTCATAATTTTTAAGAATCCTCTCTAGAAAACGCTGAGAGCCATAATTAGTCCAAACGAGATCCGTGTACAAGTATTGTCTGGACCGCGTTTGTCTTCTTGGTTTAGGAAATCAATCCTTAGACCATAATTCGGCACATTGAATAATACCGTTCACGAATTTGAAATAAGCCATTATGTTGTTTCTACGCTTTTCAAGACTTTCAAGTCCTACCAGCTGTAATCCGGTCGTGTATTCTAAGTCTTTAATGGGAACCTAACTTTGTACAATACACATTTGACAAATTGGTGTCTAAAATCACTCCATTTTATCAACATACCAATCGTCATATGTACTCTAAACATTAATATTATATTCGAAAACACTGCGGGCTAAACAATTATACAATAATAATAATTAACGTCTTTTATTTGTAATATTCTTACAGGAGGCGAGATTTAGATAATATTTCTATTCTACTATCTAACCCTTAACAATACGAGATGTAAAAAAAACAGAATTTGTTGAAAATTAATACCTGTATACAATAACGACAGAATAATCTAAGTAATGGCATAAGGAAAATATGAGGCCACTTATGGGTTACAACAGATTTCGCTGCTGGTCAAGTAGAACTTCTTTCACTTTTTTATTGAATTTGGGTAATGGATTGGTTTCGTTTAACTGCAGTCTAATGAATTATATGATTTGATCGCATTGTAAATATATGTATTCTGAAATAAAGATGTGCTGTACTATTAATGCCATGTCTACGTATGAATTTGTTTATTAAATATGACGGTGTTTTTGAATAAAACCTTAATGGCTCTATCATCTCAGAAATTCAAAATACTATCAATGTGTTTATTAAAGCTAAGAACACAGCTGGAGATCACTCCTAAGAACAATGTTAATTGAATAAATGAACATATAGGTACGTTTATAAAATCACACAACTTTACATTTAGGAACGTTAATCTCCAAACAATTATCATTACACCATGCAGCTTAATTATCTTGTCACAATGAGCTATGACTATTCTTTGGGTACGACAACAATGGTATCAAGTTACGGGTTACCTTGAATTACACTCTTATATTGTAAACTTGCAGCATAATTTAACCTACAACTACGGCCTTAAGCTGATCGGTCATGGCAGCCTACGGACATCTTTGCTAGATCATTTCATCGCCATAACAGATGTAATGTTGGACGGAAGAAAAACACACCTGGAGAGTCTCCACCAAAAGGACACTTCCAGAGAACGAGCCTTGTATAAATTGTATGCTTCAGACAGACATAAATTGATTCAACCTTTGTGTGAGTAGTATTGATTTATAATTTTTAAAATACAACAAATGTGCTGACACCAATGCATCTTCCTATCGAGGTCACGTCTCTTCCAAAATTAATACAATGCTTAAAAAAACTACTAGAGTGCCTTTAGGGTTAAACCTCGGAACTTGGGTCCACTGAATGGATTTTTGAGATATTCTGTGAAATGCGTTTAAAATATTGTATATTTTTAAAAGTTTACCTATATAATTTTGTACACTTTTTGTTTTTCTGTTGTTATTTTTTCTCATTTTAATCTAGTATACAGGTGTATAAATACTCACTGGTAATTCGGACATTTAGGTCAATTTATATACTTTACAGGTGTTCAAGTTAATTTCTTCTAACATTGACATTTTTAATTTCTCTTAAATTCCTCCAGTGATCTTGATGGAACTCTGTGAATCGACGGTAGGCATTTAGGGACTTATACATATTATACCAAACCCAAACGCATCCCACCAAAAATTCCAAAAATCCGTTCAGTGGACTCAGGTTCGGAGGTTTTCGTGTTTTCATGTCAAACAGGCCTCCAATATATGGTGAATGTTTGTTGATAGTACAAGAAAAGGAATGGGAGAAGGCAGCATTGCTAGCAGAGAAGTATTTAGACTTTGAGACGCTCGTGATCATATGTGAGACGAACGACAACCAAAAGAGGCTGGATGAGTATATTCAAAGGTTCGATAACGACGGCTTTTCAGAATATGTATACAACTGGTTCTTGAAACAGAACAAGCAAGGCAGACTTATCGATTGGTATAGAAGGTAAGTCGGTCAAATACGTATTAATTTTCAATGTTGGTCAATGTTATCTGTTGAAACGAATTCATTGATGTGATGCACGTTGCGTTCAGACATTCTATGAGTTTTTAAATAATGATTTTACCGACTTTGTTCCATAATTGTTGACTATTTATTACTTTGTTTTCGTTTGTGTTTTTTTTATGTGTTATTTTTGTATTATATTTTATCGTTCTCCAGACGTGTGTAAGAACTTTTGAGTACAAACATGAAAAAATGATTACTATTTCATAATTTTTTAACCATCTTATTTTATTGTTCATCTAAATTTTAAAATAGTTTTATCAAGTTTTTTTTACGTTTTATTGCCACTTTGTGTTTTATGTTTGTCTTATTTTCGTATTGTTTGTTACTTTTACTTACTCTTTTGTGTTCTACTTTAAATGACCTGTGCAAACACATTTTTGTGTAATAGTACCAATAAATTATTATTATTAGTATATGAGGAAGAGGTTTTACTTGCTACGCCACTGTACAAGGAAGCATTGTAATTGCGAAAATTTTCGAAAATGAGATATTGTGTTTTTTGGATATCTGTAAGTTGGCCTGTCCTCTAATCCTGGCCCGTCTATAACTTGATGAGTTCCGCTCGGATTTTAATGAAATTTTCACACATGGTCGCTACTATGCCATGTTATATATGTTGGTAACTGACTTTTTTCTCAGATGATTTAAATTGCGTTTAACTGATGGCGTTGGGTATGTAGTGCAGAGTCAATCAGCTTGACGTCATTTGTTATAACTTATCGGACACTATTACACATAGTAATGCATGTATGGTACAGTTATTCAAAGCTTAAAGTTAGATTTTTATTTCAATTAGGTCAGGAAAAACTAAATACTTGGATAAATTGACCAGTTTTCTGAAAGATCACCCGTCCATTTCATGGATACAATTAGTGTTTGACCATAAGTTTGCCGCAGCATCAGAAACATTGCGTAAGTATATTCGATCCCATTTTTTAAACCATTCAGTGCAGTAGGAGTGGACTGTACACTCGAACAATTCTCATGTAAAATGTTTCAGTACATCTTGCTAATGAGGAAACCGAATCTGTGACTCGTCAGAAAACCATGCTGAGCATCAGTAAGCTGGCCAGCCTAGCAGCCCCTCCAGTCGCAGACATCGAAGAAAAAATCGACACAATCAATCACAAACTGGAGTTGGTCACTCTCAGGGTAAGGTCATGTTGATGAACAAATGTACTGTCGGAAGCAAAACAAATCCCACGAAGTTCTCCTCATGTCAGTCAGATTTTAAAGGACCGTTCCTATCGATATCAACTGGCAACTGGAACTAGGGAAAGACATCATAAGTTCTTAGTGTGGGCGCGGTAGATAACTCTGTTATTGTGCTTAGTAATTACAAAAATTGTAGCCAACAGTATGCTCCTTATTTGGGACATATTTTGAGCTCTACAGGGTAATTCACAGCGATTCAGTGACTGAAACATGCATTTTTTAAACGAAAAGCATTACATTCTATTGCAGATTTGGATACACATTTTGATACTAAGCAATTTGATATAACATACTATATGGTCCTATTTCCAAATTGTTGAGATATTTGAAAATGTAGCGAATAAAATACTAAACTTGACAACTCGCACCTCTGCAACTGTTATAGTTCTAGAGTTCTAAATTTTTCATTTAAAAAAATATGATCCCATACTTTGTCGCTATCTACTTACTTTTTCAGTTTTTTGATAGCTTATACAGGGTAGTCAAGAAGCCAAAATTAACTTTTTCTCAAAATATTCAAATTGAATACCCTGTATATTTTCACACAGGCTAGGTAGGTTTAATTTATACTCTACTAACTAAATGCGATATTTTTGTTTGAGAGGTATTGCAATATTCATTCGCCTTGATATCTGATTTACAAACAAGTCAGTTGTAACCCAAAAACCGATCGTAAAAAACCTCAAAAGTATCATATCAAAAAAATCTTATAGAAAGGGGAATCAAGGAAGGTGAAAACGCGCAGGGTGTTTGTTCCATTTCTTTTTTTTTTTGAGAAATCGTTCATTTTGCGTTCTTGGCCCTGTGCTTTTAACGATAAATTCAGTACTCTAGCTATAACAGATCTGTAATAAAATGTAATACTTTACATTAAAAAAATGCATGTTTGAGTCGCCACATATTTATGAATTACCCTGTAGAGATAAACATATTTACCAAGGAAGGAGCATACTGTTAGCTACAATTTTTGTGATTAACTTTTTCAGATTTTATGCGCAATAACAGAGCTATTGACCGAGCCCACACTAAAAACTCCTGTATACTATATTCACACCAAAAAGACGGTAATGCGACCAGTTGGTCAACAGTCAGATGTCATTTTTGAATGTTATTGTGACAAGCTAACGTTAAAGCCGTATCTTAACAAAATATTTGATACTCGGAAAACAGTGCGTCTGTATCGCTTTCTGTGATTCAGCTCAAGTGTTGAAAACCTTCCGGGAGAGTGGCAGTTGATACAAGGAAGATGACAAACAAGCTGAAGAACAGGGTGCCAGGGAAAAAGGGGATAAGTCAAAATTTGTTCAAAATGGGATAAGTTCAAATTTTTATTGTATATTATGGGATCATTCTTACGGACAAAGTGAGGTATGTTACTTATTCAAAATACAGCAGTGAAGTAATGTATATAATGAGATAAGTTCAAACATGTCCCTGATAATGTTCATGAGGAGGTTAGTTAACTTATCCCCTTCGGTGCAAAAATGTGAGCTGAATCGCTCCAGGACGTAACAACAATAAAACTCGACTTATATCATTCCACCCGTAATATTTTATAGTCTAGCTCAGGCCTCTCCAACTCAGGTGGCACAGTGCAGCGCCGAACACTGCTCGCAGCACAGTGCTGCGGGGTGACTCCGTGAAGGTGGGAGAGGGATTAGGCAGCGGCATACGCATCGCGAGGAAGGTGTTGTGCTAACCGTAGCACCCTGCGAATAGAAATGACTCAGGAGCTGGTGGCATTGAGTACACCTTCATCGCGGATTCGACTAAATTTAGTAATAATATGTAGTTTTTAAGTAAATGAACAAGAAGAGCTGAGTAAGACGGGGCGCATCCTGTCAGAAGTACCTGTCATACCGACTTAAAGATACAGCGTGACAAGAGAATTTCACCGTCCTCACCGAATCCAATGAAGCCTACAACGTTTGATGGAAATTTTAGGGTCATTTGGAAAAACATGGTATGACAAACTGATTTCCGCCAGAAGTTATAGCAGGCAATGCAAATAGATAAAAATAATACATCGTGTTTGTATGCTTCATGCTTGCATTTAAAAGCTCATTTGAGTCTGTCAGTTTGACACCAGGCTACTAGATGTTTGAAAGTATATGTAAAATGAATATGAAACGTCATGCCCGTTGATATACGTATAGGTTATGGTAAAATCCTACCGTCACGTTGTATCTTCAAGTCGATATGACAGGTACTTTCAGCGGCATACCAAGCCCTTTTTGTTCATTTACTTAAAAGCTACATATTGTTACTAAGTTTAGTCGAATCCGCGATAAGGTTTAATTTCGCCGGTTCCCAGCTCCAACAGAAAATGAGTGGAGTGACATTCGTATTGACATTTGAATTGGTCTGATCGAGTCAACGCGTGGGTGATAAAATAATGTTCATAATTTCGACGTAAACACATTTATTCTTAAGATGATCTTCGACAGCGTTTCGATTCAACAAGTTTTCTAATATTTGGTGCAGTGGCTTGGGCAGTGGAAATTCTGAGTATCGCCTCTAAGGGCACATCAGACAAAGACCTGTTTTTAGTTTTGTTCAAATTCATCAAAGATAACATCTGCTCGCAGAAGTACGTTGTACCGAACATGGAGCAATTAAATTACTATTGTAGTGGTAGTATCTATCCTTAAGGATCGTATGGCATTGAAGCTTAATCAGCTCCATTTGGAACTGCGGCGGTTCTGTTTCGAAAAGCACTGAATATGGCGTCGTAAAAATCTCATTTGCATAAACATCTCAACGTCGTCAATGATTTACAAAAAAAATCTTTAGCACTTTTGCGCAGCTTAACCAGCGCGTAACACAATAAAAGGGTACGTCACAGTGAGTTGCTTCCAGGTCTTTGAAAAATACTTCAAACGGCCGTGGTTGAGACCTTGCTTTCTGCAGAAATTGACACATGTTATTACTATATCCATAATAGATTTGAAATTACGGAAGGTTTTTGCACATAGTTGTTCCTGATGTAGTATGCAGTGTACCGATGATATCGGAGGTAGCCCAGCGTCGCGTACTTTTATTTTCATTCGCCCAGTAAAACCTTGTGCTTCCGATAACATTGCTGTAGCTCCATCGGTAACAACATTACGCAAACTTTTGACTAGTATACCCATGTCATTCATTGTGTATTCTACAGCATCAAAAATATCTTCTCCGGCCATTGTATCTTTAAGCGGGATAACGTCGAGTAGTTCGTCGGTGATAGTAAAGACTATTTCGACACCTCTAACGAAAACAGCTAATTATGCTGGGTGAGAGAGCTATAGAATACTGCACAAAATGGGCACATTTTCCCGCAGTTGTTATTTTAAATCTGCACCAAGTTCAAGTATCCGACGAGAAATTGTTTGCTCGGACATACTAATTGTCTCAAAGTTGCTTACAGGAGATGGGTAAAATATTTCTGCACACTCCACTAAGCATTCTTTGACAAGTGCACCGTCAGTAAACAGTCTCCCACTTTTTGCGATTTTCAAAGCAACAATATAACTTGCATTACGACACCATTAATAATAATCAACTACGACCAAATTAATAATTACTCTTCAGAACTTAGAAGGGCTGGCCTCAATACCGTGTGAAAAATTGAACATTTTGCTTTTCCATCAGTATTTACAAAAAATAGGTTTCTTTCATGCAGAATTAAATGACATCGTTTAAAAAAAGATGCACGTTAAGACGCTAAAAAACCTGTCCACTTTGTTTTGTCCTATTAAAAAATGGCCCGCGCCCGAGAGATAGTCGGCTAATATGTTTCTCTCTGTCGCGGCGGATGTGCGGTCGAGGTGGAGGGGGAACGGCACCGGTGCCGCTGGGTTCAGCACCGGAGCGCACCAGCACCAAGTGCTCGAGTTGGAGAGGCCTGGTCTAGCTTCTTGTCAAATCGTGTCGCTGAGAGTAGTGTTTCGCAATGGACTCAAGAGGCAAAATAATCTTGTCAATGTGTGAAAAAACCCAGTGATACAATAACGGTGAGTATATTTATGTTTTATGTTTTTTGGCAAATTTTGCTTTCAAGAATCTAACCTCACATTTTGACATTATTATAATTTATATTTCTCCACCATTTATGAACCGATTTTGATGAGTCGATTTTGTTCGATAGGTCATGTTTCATAGGTGGTTACGTAGTTTTTTTTGAAAAATTAACAAAAAACAAAATGGCGAATTGAATATTTTTGCACAATCACCACAATATGGGTATCAAATGAAAGGGTTTGACTTGTAGAATGGAAGAAGCTTTAAATTTAAGATGGCCACTTTCACCTAATGGCGGAATACATAATGATGTAAAATTACCACTTTATGGTTATCAAATAAAAGCGCTTGTTTTGCAAAATACAGTGATATGTGGAAAAAGTTTCAAATTCAAGATGGAGTCCGTCAAAAAAGCTGGTTTTGAGAATTCAGTTACGTTATCTGAAAGGATATACATTACCTCCCAGGTAGTTCCATACTCCCTTGATCATTGAAGTCGGTTCCTTTTAGTTTAAAATTGAAATACTTGTGAAACTTGTTTCCTGTTTCAGGCTCCGATTCAAGTGATCCTCCATCGTTGCCCGAAGAAATTCGGGATCTTTTGAATGAACTGAGTAGTAACAGTGACTGTGTGCCTTCTGATGCAGATTCTAGCGACAGTGATGAGCCTTTATCTGTGCTAAAGGATAAAAAGCTGCTGATTGGTGAAGAAGACAAATACGTCATAGCAACGACTGTAGAAAATTGTCAACATCATGGGAAAAAATAGAGGAAAGCCAGAAAATATGTTAAAGGAAAAACTCGAGCTGCTAAACTGGATAGAAAACTGAAGCGAAATTTTGGTTATTACCGAATTCGGAAGAGTAAAGAAAAAATGATTGTGTCAACCTCTGTCAAATTGCCGAATGAGGTGCAGAGAAAGATTTAGGGATGAAGAT